AAAAGGCTATTTTTGTTTAGTTTTAGATCAATTTTTATTATCTTAATAATAATAATAAACAATGCCTCATATAATAATAAACAATGGCTCATATAGTTAGCCAGCTCTTTCTTAATGAGTGTTAGTTGTTTCACTAGTTGGCAAAATTATGCTCCCAATGAATTTTATAATACATAACCTGATGGCTTGTTACCTAGCAGCTTCTGATAGAATCTTGCTCTTGTTCTTACTTCCATCTCAGTGATGGATGGTAAAGTTTCATGGATATGGTTTCAAGATATTAAAGAGAACTGGCCCCAGCACTGAGCCCTGTGGGACTCCACTAGACTTTAACTCCATTCATGACTCTTTGGGCCCAGCTACCCAGCCAGTTTCTAACCCAACAAAGCGTACACCAGTCCAAGCCAAGAGCAGCCAGTTTCTTGAGGAGAATGCTGTAGGAAATGATGTCAAAAGCCTTACTGAAGTCAAGGTAGACCACATCCACAGCCTTTCCCTCATCCACCAAGCACGTCACTTTGTCATAGAAGATCGAGTTCATCATGCAGGACCTGCCTTTCATAAACCCATGCTGACTGGGCCTGATCACCTGGTTGCCCTGCAAGTTCCGTGTGATTCTGTAATTCTATGATTCTACGTGATATTTATATTGAATATATCTCATTAAAGATCAATGATAAATATGTAGATATGATTATAGAGAGAAAAGGTTGTCTTTTCTTCTGATAGCCTGAAGTTTTTTCCATCATAATTTAATATGTAACTTGCAAGCCAGAGAGAGTGGTTGCATTTTTATTTTTCTGTCTTTAATTTTTTTCTTCAGTACTGCCAGCACAAGGCCCCCAGGCTCAGATGACGAAGCAGCAGCTTCATCACTGGCAAGTGCTGGATTATGTAGCTTGGCATGCCACCCTCCATCACAGCATAGTGCCCTGGGGGTGCCAGAACCTGATCTCAGCATCTTTCTTCCCCTCTCAAATTCCATCCCAATGAGTCTCCTGTCTTCTCTCAGAGCACACCCAACACCTCAGCAACAAGAAAAGGAAGATTGATACCTCATATCTTGCCAAAAAGCCAGGGAATTTAGACATACATTCATCAAAAGGAGTCCTCAGGACTCTCATTTACTCTTACAACATTCAGTAAAGGTTTCACTCTTAGTTTCTACACTAGCCCTTTCTAATGGTTTTCATTTTAAGCAGGCAGAGTATTACACGTGTGTTTTTCTATCTCCCTATTAAGGTCAGCATTTGTCTAAAAATACATCAGATTTTTCTTTTGCTGAGACATGTACAAATCTGCTGTTGTTAGTGACTGAGAGACCTCGTTTTTGCTTCATGCTGATAGACCAGAGAGGCAGAAGACTTAGAAGAGGAGAGAAGTGACAGTGCTCCAGCCCTTCACTGCAGCAAACCAGTTTCTTGGTACCATGTCCATCACTGCACTTCACCATGTCTCTGTGTGCACGTGAATGCTTTTGGTTTTTGCAAAATAACATAATCAAAGAGACAAGTATTCTAATATTTAGGATTCATTTCCAAAACAAGACCATTATTCAGGAAATTCTGTAAACATTTTCACCCTCTCCCTAAATAATTCAGTGCAATATAAATCCAAGCAGAAAAAAAAATCTAATTGATTCTGAGATTTAAAAGTACTTAATACTATTTCACTTTAATGAATAGCATATGCAGAATAAATTAGAACCATTAGAACTATTTCTACTGTAAATACATTCTGAAATTTGACATAAGGATACAGTACTACATATTGCTACAGGCAGTTATTAAATTAATTCAACATTTTACAATGCTAAGTCAGTTTATATTGCTAACTATATTTATGCTGATCTCAATGTGATTTGCAGTGTATTAACCTTTTTATAAAATGTTTACTGTTTTGACAAAAGTAAAACCTGTCAGTTCTTATGTTGCTAGAACCAAATATTATTAAATGGAAATAGAAAAGCACTCATTTGTAGACTTATTTTTAACTCTTTGCTCTACTACTTTGCCTTTTATTTTTGCAACAAATTTCCATAAAAGTCTTTCCTGAGAATTCAAGCCAAAGTGCAAAAATTAGAGAAAAATTCGTCTCCTTCCCTTATTTAATACATTGTTTTCACTTACCACTATTGCTCTTAAAAAAAATAAATAAATATAAATAAATAAATAAACAACTCAGAAGTTTAGTATATTCACTGTTAAATTACCATGTATTCACCACATATAAACTATTTATAGAAATATAGCATACTCATTTTGTTCCTTCTGTGTGAGATTTGGTGCTCATTGGCTTGAAATGCTCATGACCACCTGGGCTAGACTGACAATCTAAGAGAAACTTGGCTTTGTGCCCTTGTTGGGACTGAACATAAACCAGACTTTCCTGATACTAAAAGAAATTCAGTGAAACTGATACCTCCTCTCCTCAGGTACTTGCTGTGAGAAACATTGCATGCACTATACATGATCTGAAAGTCACTAAGTAGAAGGCACATAAGGGGGTCCAGTACTACAGCTAATTCCTTATACCAATGACTACAGTCAATAAAACTGCACTGGGCTCACAGGTCAGATTTTTTCAACCTGGTAACTTCAGGAAAAAGTCTTCCTTAAATAAAGTGCTTTGCATTTACTCCTTCCAAAGGAATTCATGAATAACAACTGGTAGAGCTTAAAGTCACTGGAAATTCCACCCTGGACTCTAATTTTGTGGTTGAAGCTCTTCCCAGCACCAACCTGGGTTGCTTATGGAAGACCATAAAATAGTATCAGCACCAGGCCTGCATTTCCACGGCTGCTTCATTGTGTAAGACCTCATCAGTTTATGAGGCTTTTGACTTTGCCGTGTGAATTAGTTAAAACCAGTGCATATAAGCTGATTTCTGCAGTTATCTCTGCCATTTTATTCATTAAAAATTTAACATGTTACATTGTTTAGTGTTGTCAGCATAGCAGCTCGACAGGCAAATTAAGCCCAACAAGAATCAAATGCTTATTTTGCTGCTCAACCTGGGTATAGCAGTACTGTATTTGTATGGAAAGTTTGTGGAAGAACCCCAGTGATTCAGAATTAGCATTGATGTGGTTGAGGCTGCCTACACATACAACAAAGGCAAACAATGAGAAATTGCCCCTAGGCAAGTTTCCATGTGGCAGATTTCATAATCCCAAATACATCTTGGTTTCTAAAGGTCTCTTTCTCTCCTCTGTCCCCATCTGTCAGTAAGCTAGCAGTTCTGCAGATGGGTGTAGTTAAAACAAGTTTCTAATTCTCATGATTCAAATTAATAAAAAAAAGTATTCAAGAATTAGGGCAAACAGAGCCTCTTTTAAATTAGCATTGATTTAAGTTGCTGCTGAGTAATAGCGCAAGTAGTAACCAAAGCAAAAAATGCATGACAAGTTTTTGTTTGTTTTTAAACAGAGGAGCACCTAGCTTTTGTAGGAAGGAGCAATTAGCAATTATGTATTTTTATTGCAATAAATTTCATTTTTATCATGAGCCTGCTGTTGCTAAGATAGTAGTTTCAAATTACCTTTACATACTGCACTAAAGAACAACAGGTTTGCCCAGTTTATATGGCCAGATGATTCTCCAAAGTTTAAGACACTGTAGTATTTATGTAATAAAAAGGGTTTACTTGGTTCAACCAATCAAGAAAATAGTAATATGATAGGTGCTATGCAGTCTGATCCCTTGGATGTCTGAGCAAATCCCCTCTTTGAAGGTACGGGGAGCGTAGTTGTACAGTGACTGGCTCCTGCTGTGCCTGAAGCCAGCATCAATGAACAATGCTGGGTCAGAGACCCCTCCCCACAAAAAAGTTCAACTCAAGTCAGCAATGAAAGCTAGAGTGGAAACAGCAACAGGATTACAAGTACAAAAGGAGAATATGAAGCTAGCTTGGTAAAAAAGAAAAACACCCTGTAGAAATAGCAAATACATTTCAGCAAGCAAGGGAGTGAAGTGTTTCAGTCCTAATACAGATGCTGCTCTTGAGTGCTACCAGACCACATCTAGTTGTGATCTAAGTCTGATGTTTCTGGCACCCGTATCACTGAAGCACTAAGCTACTTAATATTGAATCCAAAGTAATTAGCAAGACATTATGAACACCATTTTTAAATCAGTTACATAAATATACATCTGTGATTTAACCACTTGTAAGTAACAAAACCAATAAATATGAATGTGGTAACACTTAGGCAGAAACCATAAGTTGTCCAACAACACTGTTTTACAAGTTAAAATTTTGGCCTTATTTCAGTATTAGTACAATTTCAGTTTCCAATTTGTGTATTCCCATAATACACAGACCATTTTGTATAGACAAAATAGTTTAGATTTATATTTGTTGAAAACTTGGTCTCAAAGATTAATTCTCCACTGCAATGTTTAAAACAGCATTCAGCTTTATAATAGCATAACTGCAATTACAGTATAGGTGTTAAACATCTGTAGTTATAGATATTCAGAAGTTGATTCAGAACTAATTAGTTAGCAGATAAGTACATGCTAGTTGGGTAGTTTCAACAGTAACTTGCATTGCAGCATTAGAAACAAACTTTCAATATACTACATGGCTTTGGCTGGGATAAGGGTAGTTTTTTTCTGATGCTGTGTTCAGCATTTTTGATGAAAATAAGAGTGATACACTGGTTTTGGTTGCAAAAACAGCTAAGGGTAACATATTTAACTTTCTGTTAAGCCCTGAAACAATCTTCAAAGCATATTTTTACTTATGTCTTTTTCTGAATGTAGGCACTGTAAGTAGTAGCATCAGTAAGTTCATCAATTGGATTCATAAAATTAAACCTAACTAAATTAGTACCTTCACTGACAGATCAAATTCCTCAGAGAAGGCAGCTTCAAAAAAAAAAAAAAAAAAAACTCTGGCAGGAAGCAGATAGCTTCCAACCCTATTTGAAACACTTGAAGCTATCTGCTTTGGCATATGGCTTATGGTATAACCAGAATTAAGAAGAGTCACACTGTTTCTTCTAGTTGATTTTATTGTTGCATATTAATAACACCGACACAGTTGATATCAGAGTGATCCCTTATGGGACAAGTGCCATAATGCATATTATGAAACAGAAAATCAGTGTAAAGTGTGGAGCAGCACAGCATCTGTTTTAAAAAAAAAAAAGTCAATGCCATGAAAACTTGTGGTATTGGACCTCACTGAAAAAAAATTAGGAACGGCCTAAAGTTCACAAACTTCCCAAAACACAAAAAAAGCCATGTGCATCTCCCTCAGTTAATCCATCAGAATTTAATTCCATGAAAGACTTTTTCCAAATTCAGTGTTTCAATTTTCTAAGTATTTCATATTCTTTACTATAAGAGAGCACAGTAAGCTGTTCTATTCTACACACAATTTGCCCCAAAAGAGTGAAGGAATATACGATCACATTGTCCTCTAGCTTTAAACAGCTATTTCAACCAGTACATATACATGTAAACAGAATGCCTAAATAAGGGCTTAAAAACAATTTCACAGAAGTATCCCAGTTCAGCTATTTGTGCTCTTTATTTCAAAAAACCCAAAGTGCCAAATACAAGCAGAAAGTTTCAACTATTGCAATCTAAATTAAGAATGATCCCATTTGTTTGTGTGAATTTATAGAAATCATTTAAAGCCACAATTCCAATTAGTTCAAAAGGGATGAGAACAGGAATACATTTACAGTAGCTGCACAGCTTGCATGGCCAAATTCTCAAAAATAAATTTTAAACTTATTAACAAGTAACTGAATGTACAGGTGTTGACAGTTTAACGTAACTCAAGAATAGACAACTACTGTACTGATACCAAATTTGTTAATGCATAATCTATCTGAAAAAATATACAAAAGCCAAAGTTATTACATGAAATTAAAACCCAGTTTTAAAAAGTGCACAGTAAAAACTGAAGGTAATTACTATATAAATTATCCACAGAGTGTACGTGTCCTGGTTTAGATACAACATGAAGTTCTTTTAGAAATGTTAAGTATTTTAAAGCCATTTACAGCACCAATCCCATTTTTTTCTAGATCAAATACCACCCCTGCTTCCTGTAACAAACAGGAACTGGACGACGAATGTTCAGTATCTGCATTCTGTGCAGCAGCAGCCTCCACAGACAGTTGACGAGCCAGGAACTATCGACTTTTGTTCTTTTTAGAGTTTCCCTGTAACAAGAAGAAGCTAGTTAATACAGTGTATAGTTCAGATAAGAATACTATGCAGACAACATATAAAACCCGAGGTCTGGTATCTTATCGTACAGCAAGCAAGGAAGCACAGTAAAACTGAGAATAAGCAGTCCAGTGTTAATAACAGAAGCTTGTAACTGCTTGTTCTGAAAATTTCTGTCCTTACAAGCATAACAGAGGGAAAGAGTACCAGAGCTTTCAAACAAGTACAACAGTACCTTACTTTAATTCAAACCTATGGTAAATGAGACATCTGAGTTATGTCCCACAACATTCAGTTGTATTAGCACCATTAACATTTTAAGGACACCGAAGGCAAGTTAAATCATAATTTGCCCTTCGGTAATTCTTCAAGTATAAACCTGATAGGATAATTGCCTCAAATGAAATTGATTCTCCACCCTAACATTTTGTTCCAAAACAAATTTGACTTCAGCTTAGTCTACACAGAATATTCTTAGTTCAGAAAAGGATTTATTACGTGACAACCATATTACATTTGACTTTCAGCAATTCTCCACAACGCAAACATGCAGCTTAAATTTTGTACAGTAGTTACTTGCTGGCAATTCTCCATTTTCCTATTTCCTTAGGATAACATTTGTTTTTCTAATGGTTTAATTCCATTGAAATGAAAGTGATGCGGTTTGTTTTCTACAATTGATAGCATCCGAAATGCAAAAAAGTGTGTCTACTGTTATGAGATTATGACTTACTTCCTTAGAGACAGAGTACCCCTTCAAGTTTTATAATTACGACAGGTTAAAAATTCCACAAAACATTTTATAGAAACATGAAGCGATATGGTCAGTATACAGAGCTTCCTTCTAGAAGCAAGAGCTTATATACAAAAAAGTAACCTTAAAGAGCACAATGTCAAGCCAAAATACTCAAACATCTGAAGGAAAATGTGAAGGAAGTCTACAAATAAAAATCACTGTCATGGGGTGTCTAATCAAAACATAGATCTTCATACACACACCCCTCAGTGAAACCTGCATCCATGCATTCCACAGTTAAGGAGAGTTATTTGTTTCACAGCCAAACGAGTGAAGGATAAAGACCTTCACAACATACACTTCTTCCTAGAACCTTCAGGATAGGATATACCATAGTTTAAGCTTTGACTGTTCAACAGCAGACTACTATACATGTATTTTTCATCATAAAGTAGAAAAACTTGCTTCTGGTAAATGAATAAACTCCTTGCTTGGAAAAAAGAAATGTATGTGTGACTTTCTCAGAAGTTCACAGAAGAATTTAGGTGGCAACTTTTTCACTCCCACATGAAAAAAAAAAAACAGGCCAGCTAGAATATAGAAGTAAAGCAGAGGAGAAAAAAACAATTGCCAGGACAGGAGCACAGGACGTTATCATAAACATCCTATATCATTAGATAGAATTGCAAATAGCTTTATTTTCACCAGATTTAAAAAAAAAAAATTTTGATCTTTCACAGGATACACTTTAAATTTGCATACTTTGAAGCAGTGATATACAGCATGTGCTCTTTCATACATGTACGTTTCCAAAAATATTATTTTTGAAAATATGCCTGACTAGGTTTGGAGTTTTCTTTCCAGTTGGCCAAGAGTAAGAAATACAGCTTGTTGATTAATTTGTAGAAGGGTATTACTACGGGCACACTAAATGCAACCCACAGAACTCCACTAGCCAGTGTCTACTGTCAACACTTGACAACTTACCTTACTAGTCATTTTTAGTGTATCAATTTCTTCCCTTTGTTTAGTTAAGGTCTCGTTCATACTGCATAGATGGTCACTCATCATACTTAACTGATCCTCATAGCTTCTCTTTGTTGTCATCAATTCATCCTATTAGGACGAAAAACAAAGAAGTCCACAATTTGAAGCCTTTGATCAATATTAGAAAATGTCTGCTTTGCCAGTTGTCACCATCTCCACTTAGTAATCTACATTTTTGATACTACGTATGTGTAATTAGACCAAATTGCACTTAAACCATTGAAATTATATCAATGAATCATCAATTGCAATTAAACCACTGAAAAGTATCATGACAAAAAAATGTCAGTAGTTACTTCCTTTCACCTCAAGACTTATGCACAGTATTTCCCCTGTAATTTTGTTTAGTTTCTTTAATTTTTTTTCAGCTTTGTATAGCTTATGTAAAAGCTGAACAGCTAGATTTTCGCTTCCAAACAAGACACAGGTAAAATCTATAGGATTAGAACACTGCCTGTACATGAACACATGCAGCTCATGAAGCTGAAGGAATCAGCAACTCGCATGCAGTTGCAGAGCAATCTTTCTGGCCTTAAAAACATGGAAGGACACTGTGCATTACTAGAACATAGCGATGAATGGATACAGACTCTTTAGGAGGGACAAGATGGGAAGGCAAAGAATCACACTCTATGTGAAAGAGTGGTTAAAACACAGTTAAGATCTTATAAGCAGGAATCACACAATAACAAGGGTAATGTGGTAGGCATCTGATACAAGTACTTAATCTCACTGCTAAAACCCTAATCCTCATGAGGGATTTTAACCCCTCCACTATCTTCTGGAAGGACAAGGTGGTATGCTTGCAATTTAGGAGTTCTTTTTAGTGTTGTAAAGGATTTATCTAGTTCCCAATAAATTTGCTGTTACAGTTTATCTTACTGTTAAAAACAACTTCTTAAAAGATTATCCCAAAATTATCTCTGCTTAATATTAAAGTATCCACCCACAAAAAATGACAGAGGCTTTTTTAAGATTTTCAGTAACAGGTGCTAGAGTGGATTAAGGATTCCATGTTTGATCTAGGAGACTGCACTATCATCGTTTTCCTAGTCCTGTTTAAGTTAAATGAACGAATATGGAGTCAACCTCGCCAGTACCACACCTAATACTGTAAGGAGTAGAAGACACTAGAGAGGAAAAAATAGATGTTAAGTACTGCTCATACATTAAGTAATCCTCCCCTCAGAGAGGGAAACGAGACACTGAAATATGTCATACAACTCTGCATTTAGACATACAGAAAACACATTTTCATAAAAAAGCCTTGACATCAAATGTGCTAAAAACACAGGCATGGCTACTACCACCTTTTCTTTACAAGAATATTTCACTTCAACTTTATACATGGATTTGAAGTGTATGACTTCTTTTCTCTACATACCCTTAGTTTTTATATCTCTAAGGACCTAGATGAGGCAGGACTGTGCTTGGTGGTCTTTCTCCTTCACCTTCCTCTTACACACAATTAACTATGCATCTATTATGTCATTTAATATTTTACTTGCCTGTAATCTACTGATGTTTTGACTAGCTAGTTTCAATTCTTCCGTGAGTGATTCCTTGGACTTCTCCGCTAAAGACAGTCTTTTGGCAAGTGCTCGACACTGTCAATTCAAGCAGGATAAGGAGGGTAGAAAGGAAGAAATTTAGTTCTACAGTATCATCTTGTGCCATCTTTAACTGATTACTTTGAATGTTTCCATTTTTCTGGAAGCCTTATATATTCAGGTATTAATCAGAATCTGTGTACATTTTTTAATACAAAGATAATGTTAATGTTAAACTTTTGTTTCATTTTACAGAATTACCATATTACCACTTGTCTAAACTTTATTTTTATCACATTATTGCTAGGAAAAAAATTTAATAAAAAAGCACAACTCACTTCATACTATTGATACTCAAGTATCATAGAAAGATGGTTTACTATGTCATCTACTATTAAAAAACTAATTTTAAGATGTTTTGGTTACTTATACAAATCAAAACAGCCACTATGTTCAAGAATTACCTAACAATTTGAAAAAAGGAGGAACTTAAAAAGACTGAATTATTTTGTTAATTATTAATTTTAAGTACAGCTTCTCAGGAGAGTTGTTTTTATCACTTCATTATATGCTCAAGTATTTCTTTTAAATGACGTCAGCATTATTTTAAGATGAAGTCAAAATTAGCCTGGTAACTAATACCAGCCATTTCACCTTATAGAAGCAGACCAATACACGATACACATTGTAATTCTTAATGCAACGAAGAAAACGCTAATAAAAGCCTTTTTTAAAAAAAGAAGTCTGTCTATACTCTCCATTGTTATGCATACAATACCACAGATGAAAACATATTCCAGGAACACATTTTTCTCAGATATAATGTACTATATATTTAACACTTGTTTATGGAAAATTCAAAAAGCATTTTTCAATACAAACACCGCCTGTATGCTCACCTCAGCATGAAAGTGTACTGATTTGCTGTCAGCAAGCTGTAGATGAGATGTAAGTTCTGCTATCCTTGCCATATAGTGTTTTTTTATCAAGTCTTCCCGAGACTCAACATCTGGAGCCTGGTAAATCAAAAATTGAAACAGACACATAAGTTTAATAGACTTAATACTTCACAGTGCATCACAACAGAGTCTTCTCTATTGACTTCCCTTCCCTCCTGATGCTCAATATATCCAAAAGCATTAAGTTCCCCAAACCACAACAGACAAATTAGAGGTCAGATTAACTGACAATGCCTATTTAGTGTCATATTTCCTCTAAGGACAACAAGACGACTAAGGATGCAAGAAGTTTGCTTGATTTAACATATCAAGTCTCTGATGAAGATAAAAAAACCACTGCAGAAGTAAACTCATTCTACCACCTTAAAAACAAACAAAAAAAAACAAACAAAAAAAACCATACTACTAAACACTTACTGGCTTTCCCAGCAAGGAAAAATTCCTCCACATAACTAAGTTTCAGAAGCTCACAAATTCTCAGAACAGTGCACATTCCAGAAGTTCATTTACACATGAGGGTGTTGTTTTGTTTTTTTTTTGGTGAAGTGATGGTTTATAACTTGGGCAGCTTTCATATGATTTCTCAATACCTCCAAGTTCAGCCCTATGCAGCAGCTTCTAAGACCTGGTATCAGCTATTACCTGACTCCCACCCCCATTTTAATCATTCCTTCAGGAAAAAAAAAAAAAAGATGGAACTAAAATACATGTCAGTTCCCTGCAATAGCAGAAAGCCAAAGCACTGAATCTTGCTCTTAAGTTCTTGGTGTGGCAAGTGTTATGCTATAGTAGTGCTAAAGGAAGAGTTAACATTTGGTCTGACAGGTAGCCCTGTATTTCTTTCAGTATAACCTCTGGTTTGGGATAGCCTGTTAAAACACAGACATACAGTCAGTGACTTTTTCTAACTTTTTCCACTCCCAGCTTAAGCCCCTTCTCAGGAAATTAAGAATTGAGGCCTGGAATCCACTTAGGGTTCCTAAGGAAAGCATTGATCTCTGTACTCTTACTGAAACTACAGAGAACAGACCTAGGCTACAGCTCATACTGTTCCAGGCCACTTACACGAATAAAAGCTACAGTTCACTATACAGAACAAAAACATATATACATGATTTCAGAAGCTTGAAGATAGGGTACACAGACTACCTGAGTGATTCATGCCATTATTTTATGGTATTCTTGATATTTAATTACACCTTTGGAATAAGGTTAACAATTAAATTATTTACCATATATAATTGGATAACATTTAAAATAGATTACCTTCTCATTATCAGTAGTTATAGTCAACATCCCGACCTAAAACATGGAAGAAAGTACACATGAAGTGAGGATTGCAGAAATAGGTACCTGTCATAAAAGGACTTTAATAAAACAATCTTGAAACAGTTAAAATTAAGAATTAAAATTAAGAATTAAGAAATTAAGAATTAAAATTAAGATTTTCCACATGTAACATAAAATAAAGCACAATATACAGGAATGCCTTGAACAGAATTAAAGGTGACACCAATTATCCAAATATTAAGTATCCCTTATCTCAGGATATACACATGGCAAGAGCAACAAAAACAACAAGATGCAGCTAGCTTATCTGATTATGCAACTACTTGATCATATGCACATGAAAAAGCAATGTTTCAATGCACTAAGGTGTCTAAATTACACAAGAAAAAGGAAACCTAAGGGAAAAAGGAAAAGGAAATCTATCTTGGATTTCTTGAGTACCTGATGAATTCCTTTCTTTGCAGTTTGACTAATAAATTTCATTGACAGCTTAGTGTAAAGCCCTGACAGAACTCTACCAGCGGGATGTATGTGATTAACCAGTTTCATGTAAGACTATTTTCATACTCAGTCAGATATTTCTTCCTGACCCAATAGGACTTTATATAGGTTTGGGTCTATGAACAATATTTTTGTTATGCTGACCTATCATTTACATCAAGCACTGTGACTAGAAAAAAAATCTCCTCAAGCTCCTGAAGGATGAAATATGTGATCAAGAACTTAAAATGCCAGTTTACATCAAAGCATGTAATTCCAAAACTGGTTAAACTTGATGATCTGAAAGGTCTTCTCCAGCTTAAGTGAGTCTACAAAAAACAACCCATTGTTTGTTTGTTTTTTATGATGGAACAGGAAAGTGGTGAGGAAAAAAAACTCAAATTCTATTGAATGCTTGTGTTAACAGATTATTTAATGTCTTACAGATGACAGCCCTGTTAATACCATTTCAAAAGCAGCAACTCAGAGGAAAGGGCAATCCTTTTAAAATATTCATAATAAACAGCAAAAAGCTATTTACCAACACAGGGAAACAACACAGAATTCATGCCATATCCAAAAGCAATCGATGAACCCAAGTTGTACGAACCTATGCAGGTTATGTAAAATTCATGATCCAGAGAATACTGGAAACTTGAATGACTTCAAGTTAACTTTGTTATACTACATGGACCTATAGTAAGTCTTTTAGCTCTTTTAAAAATACTAGTTACCTACTTCTGTTTGCTTTAACATATTATGGATATGTTAATACCAATCATTTCCTCCTCAGTCACAGAAGTACAGCACCACAAGAATCCCTCTATTATACTGAATAGCCAAAGTCTCAAAAGCCAAGAAATTCCAAAATCTGAACAAAGTATCAGCAAGCCAAATGTAATGTAATTGGAAATGTAATGAACCCAAGCATGATTGCATTTCAACACCAAACCACTTCCGTTATTAATGTTTCACTGATCAAACAGTACTACTACTAAAATGTTTTTTTTTTTCCCATTGAAGGAAAGAAAGTCACTTACCAGACTAGTACTTTTAATAGGTTCCCTCTGACTCTTTTCTGTTGTTTCCTCTTTTTGTTCAATTACATTTGGCAAAACAGAACGTTCTTGTACAGTTTCAGCTAAATATCCACTAAGAGAGTTCTTCAGTTTTTGGTTTTCTTTCTCTAGTTTTATTTTAGCTAGTTGCGCCTCCAACATCCAGTGTTCTTTTTCTTGCTCAAGTTTTGCAATTTTCTCTAAACTCTGCTGGACCTTTAGGATAGAAGTTCACAGTTCATGTTAATCAACACAGAAAAAACACAGCCCAGGAGTTGTTTGAAGAGAGAGTTATCTCAAATCATAACACAAATGAGCTAGTGAATAACAAAGCAGTAGGCTGGATTCTGTAGGTTGAAATGTGATCATCTATGACATGCACAAACACCCCCCCCAGCTTGTCCAAATAAGAAAAGCTACGGAACAGTATATAACCTTTCACTCCATACATTTCTACTCAACATCTCATCTCAAATAATAGATTCTGAACGTGGGCCACTACAAAAAAATACAAGTATTTTTCTTTTACATAAGTTCAAGGACACTAACACAAGAACAGCCTGAACATTTGAGCTAGTAAGAGAAGTTTTAGTCAGTACTTCAAATTAGCAAGTCCCACTCATAAAAAGGTGGGCAGACTGTATAGGGCCGTTTAAATACCATTTAGTCTCCCTCTGCCTTATCTTCCAGAAAAGGAAAAACACACTTCAAAAACACTGAAGACAGTACATAAAATTAGAAATGAATATTCCAGTTTGAGCTGTTCTTTTACTCTAAAAATGATAAGTAAGACATCTGTAGTTACTTTATGACTCAGTATGTGCCTTTATGTACAAACAACCACATACAAACATAGGTAGACTATTCAGTACTACTTTCCTTTACAACATTTATTATTAGACATCAGTACAATTTATACCAGAATACCTGTTGTGCAAGACCTTCTCTACTTTCTGTGGAACTCAGAAGAACTCTACGATTGGCTAAAGCCTCTTCATAAGGCACTGAATCTGCACAAGGCTGTGAAAGGATAGAAAACATGTTTCACAATAGATCAGAGCATGTATTTTACATTCATTTTCTTATTGTCCTTCGTACTTCACTAGAGGGAAGAAAAATACATTCTAAATATTTATAGCAGACAGTAGAAAAAATGGTTCCATGGTTCAAACTCAAAGAAAACCATTGCCTTCTCTCCCCAAAAATGCATACAAAGTTCTCTGAGCACCTTTTACTTGTGTGCTACTTGGTGATCAAATGTATCTGAGGTCCACTTAGATATCACAACATAATGGTTCTCAATAAATCACTTCGCCGTGAAGTACATCATAACTTTTTTTTTTCCAACTATAAAGGGAACAGCGGGGAGATCTGTCTTCCAGTGAACACAAGTATAGAAATGTCATTCACACCATATTCTTGGTGAACATGGCAGGAAGTTTAAATAAGTAGTTATTAGTCTCAGAGTCTTAGTGCAGATATTTTTGGAACTGGTTAACAGCAGAATCAACACATACTGTCAATTTTGAGAGCAACTACGATCTAATCACTTCAATAGTATTACTGCTGTATGGATCCCATTCTCCTCAGCCAAAAACTCTCCTTGAGAGAAATCCATTCCAAATGCTGGAAACCAATGGTCTAGAATAGCAACTAAATTATGCTTTCTCTGTGCAAACATGCTAACTGAACAAACCTTCTTCAAAGACTTCATATAAGCAACCGCCTTTTTCTTGTACTGCAGCATACACTCAGCTGAAAGAGGGCTGATGAACTCTGTTCCTCCTTTTGGGCCATAGCTTAACGAAGCAGTGAAATGATCCAAGTTGTTGCTAAAGAACGAGGCAATCTAAACATAAAAAGAAGTCACTTTTTGAATTAAGTTGAATACAATGACTTAGAGCAATAGCTCATTCAAGAGAAAGACAAGCATTTAGTGAAACTGAACTTCACAAGAAGAAACTTAAAGAAGCTACAGGCTCCTCTACATAGCTTGGACCTTACTAAACATCCTCTTTAAAATATCTACTCTTATTACACATAGTTTCTAAACATATGTCCTGAAAGTACCTTTCATTAAGCCTGTACCATATATGTAGTTAAGAGTATCAGAGGTACACCTAGATTTCTCAAATAAAAATTTTATTAAAAAAATGCTCAAGTTATGGCATTATATTAAGACAAAAATTTACATTACCTTGCCCATTCCATTTGTTAAAGACACAACAGAGGACAAAATACAGTCATTTGTAGTTATGAGTTTCTGCGTGACAGTGGGAACCTCTTGTTCTAACGTAGCTTTCTGACTGTAGTGCTTGGAAATGTCTAGAAAAAGAAAAACACTTACATAAATTATGTTTCTGTCTATTCAAGCAACCATCTCCAAATTCAGCTAATGACCTTGGGTTTTGAACAATTCTCTCCTCTTTAAGTGAGTTGTACAAGTGTTTAGTCTGGATGCTTCTAATTGTTCAGTAGACTGCCTTACACAAATGTTTAAGATCAGAAAGAACAGTTACTATGTCTGTTATGCAAGGCAGAATAGAAGGGTATATTTATGTTTTGCATCCCAAAAATCATAGCTGTACAGGGGAGCCAAACTCAACCTAGCATTTGATTTCAAAATTATACTTCCCACTTCTACATATTTACATCAGGACACTAAAGATATAATTATTATTAATGTTCAGTATCTGAGCCTTAAGCTTACATGACTTAGAAGGGTATTTTAATTCTGTCAGAGCAAACCTAAAAGTCTACTAAAAATTCAGAAAATCGCTTCCTATAATCTCAAGTTCTTTCAGGTAAAATCAATAGACTAGTCTTCTGAGAGAGAAAGACAAAAAGAAATCCACTACACGTTTTTTGAAGGTAATTTACAAGGAAATATTAGCTTCCATATGCTAATAAATTTCAACAATATCAAAATAAAAAACTCAAATATTTATCATGTAAAACAGATGTTCTTAATCATGGCGTTGTTAAAATTAATAGGCATTTCACAAGTAAACATTTCACAGCTATTTTACAATCAAGTACTTTTGCTACAAAAGGGAGAAATCCCAGGTCATCACCACCAGAAATTTTAGCTCGAGGCAAGGTTAAGCAATTGGAGAACTGTTTGAGTTATAAAGGGAGGGTAAAGAGAAACTACAAATCAAGAATTGTCGAGTATGTGAGCATGAGACATTACATACATCTCTGTTGCTAACTAATGAGTTCTAAAAACTTTCTTCAGTACTTTTTCTGTCCTCTTTATTTATATTAAGTTGTACTGAGATTACATTACAGCAACTATACTAAGAGTATGTATCAATAAACTTATCTATGCTACAATGCTCTCTGGCATAGTAGTACCTCATGTTGTTTGAGGTCTCTACAAGTCTCTACCATCAAATTTTTAAAACAGAACCCTGTAAAATGGGTCAGTGCTATTGACATTATTGGTAATTGAACAAAAACAACCTACATTTTGTTTAAAATAAGACATTAGTATCTATACAGCTGACTGGTATCAAAACAATTCAACTATACTAATTACTCTCCCTACAAACAGCTACGTAGTACAGAAGCTATTGGATATATGGACTTGTATGGACTAAACATGTTTTAAAACTCTGAGTATTAACCAAAGAGCACTCCACTAAAAATCCAGCAACCGAAGAGTACTCCACTAATCCAGTATATCCACAACCTTTTGATAAAAGAAAAGCCATTTACAAGCAGGAAATTCTGCTTTAATTTTGAAACTGTCTTCTTCATAAACTTTGGTTATACAGTCATGTTTAAAAATAAAGTAAGCAACCTAAAAATTGTAAGGAATCAACAAAGAAGCAAAGCTGAAAACAACCACTACTTCTGCAGTCTCACCTTTTAAAATCTCATGAGATCCACGAAGACTTGCTGCAATGCTTGTAAACACCGCGTTGTAATTTGTTCGAAGTAGTCCTTCTGGTTTTGTGCCTAAAGCACCATGTCAAAAGGGAAAAAACCTTAGCATTCAGTTACCAATGAAAAAATATCTTTGAAAGTCACCTAACTTTCAACTACTGAAAACATATTTGCTTGAATTACCTCTTTCTTTAATATTAAACATATACATACACTATATAAAATGCAGTTTATTAACGAATTCATGATTAAGAGACAACAAATGACCTAGTGTCAATAGTATGATAAAAAACCTACAGTTGTTTCTTCTCCTCTACAGTGAACTACAACTAAAATGCGGTACATGGGATTACAGCGTAATTTTAAGGCCTGCATTGTGTCCATGTCTATCCAGATGGAAGAGTGCTGAGCATTAAAGAAATATCCTAGAGCACACACTCCCAGCCAGGATAAAAGAGGGTCCAATATGACACAGCATTCTGCAGAACTCATTTGCCCCATAGTTTAGACTGTACCTAAAAAGTAGCCACAATCTTGTTTTTCCTGTATCAAGGAAGTGTTACTTAAAAAAACTGGCCCAAAAGGAATACTAATACCTCCCAGCCTCAATGCAAGCGAGCCAAAACTGGCACTTACTTGGTAAAGCAAGAAGACTAATATACGTGTGTAACTTCTCAAAGACCGCAGTCAATCTCTTCATATCTCTGTGTAGTTCCATATTTCTAGCTCTTAAAGCAGCTGTGCAAAGAGAAGACTCACACTCTTCTTCCAAACTAGGAATATATGAATTAAAAAAAAAACACAACACAAATGAGTAAGTATGTTAAAAAAAAAAGACCGGTATTTTTGGGGGTAGATAGCTAGTACTCTCTACATCCCCGCTCCAAAGTAACAATAAACTGGGAATTTATATTAGAAAGGTTAACTTATCAGAGGAACTTACTAAAGGTACAAAGAAAGCATAAAAACCTTTTCTTTATTCCTTAACCCAAACCTCTTTTTAAATATTCCTTTGCACTGCTAATTCACCTTCCTTTTGAACAAATATTTTCACTGCATAAGGAATGTGCATCTCACCAACTTCTACTAAATTACTCTAATTGCTGCATGACAAATAATCTTCAGACAGGCTCAAAAAATTAACAGCTTCAGTGTATAACATCTGAATAGTATCAGTGCTACTGAAAAACATGATTAAGAAACATTAAAGCTTCACCTGTGAAGGAATAAAAATTTGAAGATATATGGTTTTAGGTCTAATGCACAGCTGAAAAAAAAGCATAATCTAAAGGCTCAAAAAACAGCAGGCAAAAAAAAAGTTCTGATTTTAAATCCAAGGTGCATTAAGGACTGACTTAATATTGAGTTGTAGATGCTACCAATGCCGCAAATCTGACACAGTGACCCTTTATTTTCATCTATTAAATCAAAAGTACCTTTTTAACTGATAAGGAAGAATCTTTCTTAAAAAGCATAAGTATGAAGCTAAGTGTTCTGAGAAGGCCTTCAATTTCACAGCTGTTTCCTAGAAAGAAAGATAACAAGTAGGTATTTTTGCTCTGTAAAGATCTTTTTCAGTGATGAAAATCATAAATCTTACCAGGACTGTCACAGTATCTTCAGTAATACTCTCAAACAAGTGAAGCATTCCTTCCTCCAGAGGGCGAACGTACAAAGCATTTTCATGAAGATACTGTGAGAACTAAGCACAGAGAGATTTTAAAATGGTGCTTGGTGAAGGCTCTCAAACTATGTTAAGATAACAATTTACACTTTGCAAAGTACCTGTAACTTGAAATGATCCCCAAGACATCATTAACAAAACAGTCAAGTGTACAGCCCCCTCTTCTTACAGGGCACACAAACACATACCTTGAGGGAAAGTGAGAAATAGTGAAAACTATAATGGAAATCCAGGCAAAACTTTGCCACTGTGCCCTATATCTCCCTTTAACTGCCATGCACAGCACACCAAACTCCTGCTTTTTTGGCTATAAACACTTTCATTATTTGTTTCATTACATCAAATTAAGGCTAGATCCATGCACCCATTAAGCCATCAAAACAAACTGTCCTACCTTCCTCCCAGCTGTTCACCTGTCAGCCCTCATCCTGTGCACAAGCATTTATTTGAACATGCTGTGCAAGAACTAAACTGAGTTAAAACTGACAGCAAGAGAAACGTATTTTAATTTTTATCTGTTCACAGTCCAGTTTGCCACACGGGGAAAAGTACACTTTTGTCAATACAAAGGATGGAGGATGGAGGAGTAACTAAACAAAGGGAGAACTGCTGCTTTCAGGAACTGTATCAGGTTAGAGAAAATTTGAAACATGGGTGTTATAGAACTGCCTGACTTTCCTAAAAAGTACTTATATTAATTTTATGGCTAATTTCTCCTTTAAAAAAAAATATGCCTGGAAACAAAGGTATTTACTCTTAAACTCTTCAAAATGAACACTGGTGGTACTGTTAACATTTATTAATGTGACTATAAACACCACAGAATTACAGAAACTTTTTCCACAGATTGACATAGGCAATTGACATATCAAAAAGTCATACTGTTTTTTTAAATTTATCCCACAAAAGATACCTTCACCTTTGATTATTTATACTACAGTAGTAGCTACAGATCCCAGGCAAATAGGGTACAAGAAACTTTAGTTATTATTATTATTTTTTACTATTATTATGCTGCAGTAACACAGTGTTAACAAGAAGAGAGATGCGAAGCTCTCATTCATACATGCATATGTCTGGATGGAATTAAGGAGAATTCCTAAATCTAAGGAGGAAGAGCCACATGCAGAATGCTCCTGCCTTGTTGCAAGAGAGAGGACTGGAGTTATCTGGCATGATGCTGAAGCCCCAGTAGAACCCAGCAATCCAATACTTAAAGAGAAAACAAATACTTGAACCTGGAAGAGAATTGTCCACATCTACTTTGAGTGTTTGGTGGGGAAAAGAGCTTGAAAGCGCCAGACAAGACCTGGAGTTGGGGAAAAATAAATCAGCACAAGTGTGCTAAGCCACTACATGACACTTGTCTCATTTTCTCTACTGCGTTACGGGGAGGTTTTTGAAACACTCAGTGTAGGAGCTAAGATCACACTGAGAATATCTGCCAAACAGATAAGTTAATCAAAGATAAAGGAGCAACAGCAACTTCAAGAAGTGCAAAAAAGACATTTTGCTGCTGGAAAAAAAATTGCAGCAAAAGCTGTAAGGTAGAATGCACTGAAACATTTAGGTCGCAAATATACAGGAACAGAGGCAGGCTGCAAGAAAACAATTATGACAACAAACAAAGCCCGAACTGAATCCATCATCAGAAAAGAAGAATCAAATTACAGTTCTGATTAAGTTGCATGTTTCAGCTGTGTGAAAGCACTTTGCTGAAAAACAAAGAACTGTTAGTTAGGACATTAAGAGAAAACATGCATGAGAAGTGATGTCTATGAGACCTGATTTTATTTGCCTACTGCAAACTGCAATAGTGTTTATAGAATCCAATCACCGTGTTAGGCCACACAGAGACAGTTCCTACCCCAGAGAACTTGGAAGATAACAAAACTACATGGCCTTCACAAGAAGGATATGCCATTTTGAGTGTTGCTAGTGGCAGGAGCAGGAAAACACTGTTTTCAAACAAAGAGCTATGCTGAGCCTCCAAAAAATTAATTCTTGATTTAAATAGGTGAAAGGACTGAGAAGGTAAAAGTAACAGGATTTCTCCAGAACACCCACGTAAGCGTTTTTTTTTTTTTTTGACTCCAAAGAGATTGATGACCGTCCTCCCAAGAACAGAAATGTTTTGTGACAGTTAACATTGCTTATATACGTACTACACAGCCGTTTGATGAACAAAAAATTACATCCATTTCTAAATTAAGTCTGAGCCATGTAAACCAGTAAATTGAGATTTTCATCTGAACCCCAAAATACTAGGTCATTTAACTATCAACTTTAAAGCATGTTTGTCCACTGACACTATAAAGTCAACAAGTCAGATGCTAAAGCAATTTTTATTCCATAGCACCCATATATGGACTTCCTGCACAAACACTTGTGTGCAGTATTATCTTCTATGTTTCATGGCATAGAAGGAAAAATTCAAAAGGTGCAACTTGAGAACTCCGAATGACACCCTAAAGTAAAAAAAAATAAATCTTCCCATGGAGTTGCATAAGTAGAGACAGGTCACATTTCTCTATAATTTCAACATGCTTTTCATCAGATGTCAAGCTTCACAACACTTACAGGAGGGGTCTTCACATAAATAGCCCAAAATCAGATTATATAGTTGATGTTTGACAAGCAGAGTCAAAGTTCTCACCTTTGTAAACCTAATTTACATGCAGTTTATTTCACATCATAGTTACACAGTTCAAACACAAGACCTTCTGTCTTCTTATCTCCCATGCTATCTCCCAGTGCATTTTTATATTAACTAACAAATACACTTTAATTTGGCATTTAAAAAGCAAAATTTTGATTTGCCTATCATACTTCTCTTTTAACAAAGGCACAGGGGAAAAAGGAGTCTCTGCAACTATCCCCTTCCCCATATTCTGACAATTCACCCAACAGAAAAGACCTCTGATGCAGGAAAAGCTCTCAAACACATTTATATAGCATTCGGTAAAGGAGGTAGAAGTTTCCATAACTAAGATTATTCACTCAATAAGGTCTACACAACTGAACATACTTACAGCTGAAATCAGTAAGCTTTACCTTCTGATTTAATGGTGATATAGTGTCTGTTGCAGAATCAATGGGAAAGATCTGGACCTTCTGCTCAGTGTACGTATGAAAGTTCAGAAGAGCTGTTACAAGCTCTTGAACAAAAGATAGTGCCTGGCCAGCAAGGTCTCGTAGCTTGAGCTGTAAAGACAGTTATAAAAGTGATTGCATTTGACACGTTCCCATTTAAATGTGCAAAATATTTGGTGGTTAGACAGAAGAAAAATGCTGACTTCTTTCCTGCCACTAGATCAGCATAAGACACATAACAGCAATTATCTACTTATAAACTTAAAAAATGAATTAATAAACTACAATTCCATTCAGAAACATGTTTTTGTTCACTGAAGTGTTTTATTCCATACAACAGATGATGCTTGCTTTTGCTGTATTTCTCAAACTACAGGCCACAAGAACACTGAAGAGATTGTTACAACTACACAAGCAATCTTTGAAATAAATACTTCAAGATCAATAGACTGATAGCTGACCACAGCTCAGTTCTTTCAGCATGATGAAAGCAAGAAATTTGTGACAACTATCTGTAAGGAAAATTAAGTACTAAAAAAAAAAAACAAACAAGTATTTTATTCTGGGGCTCTCTCCAAGAATAAAAGATGTCTGCTTCTATAATCAGCAATGCAATTCTCCCACCTGTACAGAACTGAGCTGCTGCTTGCATATCAGGGTGTTCTTTAGTTTCAGTGCAATTGGGAGATATCCAAGAAACAAATCAAAAATGGAGCATTTTGAAAATGCAAAGGCAATGGAGAAGAAAACCTTATTCTGTCGTGAATATGGAGTACAGAATAAGGGTAAAGTGACATTTCAGCCAAGGATGAGTTATCCTTCATCGACATATTGGTAGTAGTGCAATGAAGTGTCAAATGAAGTGAATCTCAATTGTGGATCAGGGATAGCTGCAAATAATTAATAGTCATTATACTCAGTTTGTGTATCTTAGTTATCTACGCAAGAAAGGAACACAGACAATACTACTGTTTTGCTGTCCTTTCCGTTGCAGCTTGTGTTAATACAGCAGCATTTTGCCTCCACTGGCAGAGCCAGTCATAAAAATCTGTCCTGGAACATTTTCAAGACTGCAGATCTTGAAGTGTGAAGCTGGCTGACAGAATGCTACCAGGCAACAGTAAAGGGCTAAACTATGCATGAAGTTTTTCTGATTTTTTTCTATTACTCAGCAACAGGTCAAATTAAGATTTCCATCACAAAATTGGACACCAGGTCATCAGCTCTCACAAGAGACATATAATGTATGTTTTGGTCAGAAATATCTCATAAAACTAAATATCCCATAAAATGGGAGTGAACTCAAGTTCTCAAAATTACAATATTTATTCTTTCAAAAGATTACAACGTATTATAAATAGTAGTAATTTACCTAGTATACACCAACATAAAGCTTACAAATTAAAACATTTTTCGGAGCTCCCATGATATGACCAAAGAAGCTGAATTTGAGGGAAACTAAAGATACCTAAGCTACTTTTTTTAAAAAAGATTAAATCTTCTAAACTAAGGTAGATTTAAACTTTTAAAATGAAATGTTCAGGTTCTAACCTGAACAGGTTGACACAGTAAAACAGTATTTCAAGTGTTTGTCTTTAATAATAGTTATATTGGCATTTTTGTCATTCTTTCTATAAAGATGTCACTTTATTAATACTTAACAAAAATCACCAACTGGGAGTCAATAGACTAGCTGTAGGTCAAAGCAAGATAAGCAGATGACTTATTCCATATAAGAGTAAAGTCTGTCTTTAAGAAGTGCAGAGGCTTTGTGGACAGAAATTGTCTTGAAGTACCACAATAATAAGGAAGATAGTCTATCTTCTGCCATTTTAGGTTGCTGAAACAACTGTTTTCATTCGGTATCTGAGTAGAAAGTTACTTCTTTACCTACGAAGTCAAAAAGTACTTACCTGATATCTTCTATTGTGCAATGGTATGTTCAGAGCATTATACCGATTTGATCCTGCAGAACAAAAATTGAGATGCATACATATTAAATCACATTTTATTAAAAAAATTACTGATATACAGTGATTCAAATGAAAAACTCACTGCAGTAATATTACAGTTTATGTAAGTAACTAGCTAAAAACATGAGAACAATGGACTTAATGAGGTTGGACTAACCATCCTCAACTTAGGAGCCATTACTATGACTAAACAGAGTCTGCCTATACTTGCCTCAGATTATAAATCAAATTCAATTATCTGAGCACCCTAAATTTGATAGCAAACAATAGAATCTTCTTACCCAGAAGAACAATATTGTTCACTACATGAGTGAAAAGTCTTAAAAATCCTTATAGAATCCAAAGCTAATTTGACATTTCAGTTACATCCTAGCAACTGTCAAGCAAGATCAATGTATTCTTTCTTTAAAGAGCTCCTCTATGTACACAATTTGTTGATAGTTTAGAATAAGCTCTACTCCCCATATATTTCAGCCTTTGTTCCAGTTACAGAGCACCTGGGACAATTATTGAGATAAAAATTGGATCACTTTTTTTTTTCCAAAGAGGTAGACGTATATTTGTACCCAGAGAACAGCTTACAAAGTCTTAAGTATTTAAAAAGGAACATGTCCATTCTCAATTAAGTGCAATAAGCACCGCGATTTAAGTTGTCATAAAAAGTACAACTTTTTAAAGAGTAAGATCACCGTTTGAAATTACTGAATGCGACTACCTTTAAGGAAGGGATTAATAAAGTTCATCTTTATCTTCTTGTTCTTGAAATCACACTTGATAATCAACAATCTGTTGCTGAAACTGAATCCAGCTACTAGTTAACATTTAAAACCAACTACAGAGCCAAGAGCAAGATATTTAGAATCCATAGTAGACAAATATTTCCTGACTTTCTCTCATTCTTCTGTCACTAAAGAGCTTTCCACTTCTGCACTGTTTTCTACACAAGCAAAAGTGTACTATGTGGTCATGGCAGTTGAGCGAGCTGAGAAATTTCGGGCAAAGTTCTCGCTACAAGTATAACCACCTGTAGATGTCAGCCAGAGAAGTATAAGCAAGAAACAGACAGCAGGCAAAGATCTTTATTTGTAAGAGGCAAGGAGGGAAATAAAAAGGATTATCAACTCAAAGCACTGCTAACTAAGCATGATATGCTGTATAAGGGTCAACATTCCCTAAGAAGATCTGTTTTTTTCAAGCCAAGACTCACTGTACTGCCAACCCAGTGGAGAACCAGGATGGCTCACCCCTGTAGCAAGCAGCCAGATCAGGTTTTAGAGAATGTAAGCCATTAAGATTACTGCTAGAATAGTACACACTGCCTACCCAAGTACAACCTCATACTGAATCTATTCAAAAACAGCACAGATCTTGCACATACTGACTGATTCTGGTACCAAAGCACTCCTTCAGGTTAAAGTCCCTGTCCCAAAATCAAAGTTGATTTTTCCTGAAGAGAAGTCCAAGATAAGTTGTAGTCTAGGTGTTCTCTGACCAGAGATGCGACATACTGACAGACTTTCCACTAAGTACACAACATTTTTATGCATTGCCTCATGGAGTCAGTGTTACTGCAGCCATTGGTGTATTCCCAACTTATTGTAACTCTTAAATTTACCCTGACAAAAATATCATTCCTTGAGATGAGTACCTAAATGCAGCTCTGTGGAAAAACTGGTAAGCTGACAGTGTTTCCTCGTCTTTCACAATACTCTGTCAACACTAAGAAAGACAAGTGTTAAATTACTCCAAGGCTTTTTAAAGTTTTTATTTTCACTTCATATATACATAAAACCTGATATTTTATATATTTAAGATCACTAAACAAAATGTGACTAGCAACATGAATATATATTACATTTAGCTCCAGGTATCTGCTTAGATGTCCAACATTTCTTGCATCTAAGGCACTTTAATTCTTAAAGAGTATTTCCTCCATATGGGTACCTAAAATTATAAAATTAAAGAAGAGGACTAAAAAAATCCAGACAAGGCAATACGTACTTGTGTCATTAAAAGGTACTTTTTCACTGATTATGCATAGAGATTCTTCCAGTCTACTGCCCAAAGCTGCTTGAAGATTCTTTAACTGTTGCTGACTAAATAAACAAGAAAGCACACATTCAATGTAAACCTTTGAAATTTGATCTGTATCACCATCACCTTAGCTCACCCTAAGCAACCCTTGGGTGTACAGGTATCTGTCTTTCTAGATGTTAGGATTAATCCTATTCTGTCTTCTTTCTCCTGTGTCATATTTAAACTACAACAACATATTTTAGTCACTAACAAATGCATTGAAAGATGCAAGAAAATGTTGTAAATCTTAAGTTCCATTCTCAATTAGCTCAAACTCAAATTGGTTTCCAAACTCAATTTCCTTTATTTTTTACATCATTTTTACAGTTCGATATTTAGAGCATAAGCTATAAGAAAAATATTCTTTTCTACTGGAATTTGAATGGAAATGCAAGAGGGCCTTTATGCTAGTTACTTTATGTGGTGTTTTGTACTGAGTTGCTGATAATTCAGTAAGTTGTCACATCATAACTAGAAACATCTCAAAAAACATTCAAAGTCCTGTATATTAAGCATTGTTACGATACCACCTGTTCACACAAGGTTTGGCAGTTGTTTCTGACACGTTCTTAAGTTATTTTTTACTTCACTGTGCTTCACTTACATCGGATTACATACACAGATGTGAATCTGAATTATTATTGTTCATCTGCATATTAAAGATAGTAGTAGTAAAATATTCCAGCACTTTGTTTTTTTAATTTATACTGCTTATTGATTTTCAGACCAAATTTCACACCTTACCCAACTGTAGCCCTCAAAATCTTCACTGTTTTGTTTCTAGTTTGACATCTAGAACTCCTGCACACATACTGGAGGGTGGGAGGAAGGTGTCAAAGTGATAGCTCTTTATTTTTTCCTCTTAAAAAAAAGCATTCAAATACATGGAATTTAATCAGGACTGACAGGGAAGAAAAATCCAAATAGACAAGTATGATATTAAGTAACTGCCCAATAAATAGCTCACACACACAAATGAAGATTTTTCTTCAAGAGCAGCCCCAAAATCGCATAAACTGTACAGCATAAACTGCACAGCATAAACTGCAGTAGAATAGAGCATGATAGAAAAACTCAAGATAAGTTGCAGTACGTACTTTTTCCCTTTAGTACTATAAAGGAATGGATAATAATTTGATATATTTTGTTTTACGTTCTATTTATATTTTCAAGGCATGCTTGCTGTCAAGTCTTGTATGCCCTTCACAGAATCATTCAAGTTGGAAAAGACCTCTAAGAACATCTAGTCCAACCCTTGCTTTCTAGAATAAAGCTTGGATTTAAAAGGCAAATGGATCCCTTCTGCCAAAAAGCTTGGGAAAACAGAAGAACAGTACTTTCATAAAAACATCTTCTGTCTAGTGTTCATTATATCTTAATTTTAAACATCAAAAATCCATAAGTGTCAGGCTTTGTTTTTAAAAAGCCTCCCTTCTTAAATGGTAGGGACACTTTCTTACAATGACAGTAATTTTGCAGTCATCATAGAACATGACAGATGTGCTTTAAATTAAATAGCAGCAGATTAAGACTATGTTTTCTTAAACACCACAAAAAAGCAAGTAACAGCAAAACATAGCTTTCACCCTCTTTTACAAGTCACATTCTCAGTGAAATTCTGATCCTTATTGGAGTCGAGTTAATGAATTCAAGTATTCTTCAAGAGTACCATTTGAAAGAAGGAACTTTTCATCTGACCATTTATTGTGCATTTATCCTTAACATCAAAGATCTGTACTGCAATCTTTTTTTAAAAAGCACCTTAAAGACCTTCAGAGAAGTACAACTCAACTTGATTTGGCCCATGGTCCTCAGCTTCTTCAGTTTTCTACAACTTGTCTTCAAAACAGTGAAAGTATTCCACAACTAACAATGGAATCCTTGAGCAAAAAGCTTTAAATATTCTAGCTGAGTGTTTTATCTACAAATACCAGTAGCAAAAGCTATTGCTGAAAAGGCACTGGGGGAGGTGGGAAGAGAGAGAGGATTCTTGAAACTTCAGTTGATTGTCTTGGCTTAACTTCACTAAGTCCCATCCAATCCACTCCCTGCCCTCCGCCCACCTCACCTGACATTTTTGCTAACTCTGTTCCATAGAGTTGAGTGATTTCTTTACATTTTATAATGTTCCATGACAAAGAAATTTTTCAAATCATTCATCAGCTTCACGGCTACCTAAAATAGCTTGGCAGATAAAACTGCTCTTTGTAAGTGCTGACTCTGGAACAGATTGTCTAGTTACATACTCAGCAGAAGAAAAATGGGTCAGACCTACATGGTGCTGATGTTAATGCGCTATTGGCCCATATTTTGAGTTTTATCATTTAAAAAAAAAACAAAAAACATTATTATTCTTTAAAAGTAATCCAGCAGTCATTTCTTTAAAGCAAAATTTCATTATAGTAAATTAAAACACTTACCATTCTTCGGTTCGAAGCCTACAGTCCTTAGCTTCTCTTTCTAGTGTCTGAGACTTGATCTTTATGCAAGAAGATAATCTCACAATGTAAATAGTGACACAGGAAAACATTTCATTTCAAAACTTTTTAAACTTGTCAAGTAACAGAAAAGCTCCTTACTTCCAATTTAGCTTTATCATTCTGCAGCTTTTCTATAGTATCGGTGTATTTCCTTGTTAAACTGTCCACCACAGCCTGATGCTGGGCAGCATCAGTTTCCAAAACTTCAAGTCTAGTTCTTAGTTCTGCTTCTAAGCGTTTGTGCTGCTCATCTGCTTCAAAGAACTAAAATAAGAAAAGCAATCTCATATTAAAAACGTTTCATTTTACTACAGAACCTAGTCCTAAGAATTACACTAATGTAATTAGCCAGTCAAGGTTCAAAACACATACATACTAATTCTCAGACAAGCAGAAACTTTATACTGTTATTTACAGGAAAAAAAAAAAAGAGAGTTTCAGAAACAAAGTACTTTGTGTTTATTACAGACCTGTAATATCAAATACTTAAAATATTAATGGCGTAATTTGGGGAAATTAAACATGAACCACAAGGCTTTTTGTTGAAGCTTTCCAAATCAAAGTGAAGTACGTTCTTGACTTGATTACGACAATTTGCAGAAAACATATTAAAACTTTAAAGCAACTCTGAAACGGTTAGTGAACTAAAAAGCTTACAACACAGTACCAAGCATGACTAATTTAAGTGGATTAGCTGTCACAAAAAGCTAAGTTCTTAAGTGAGAAAAATGTGTAAAATATAATATATTTAATACACTGTCATAAGAATATGAAGTCAGGATACTTTCTCATTTTGCAGGTGAACATACTTGTATACAATACTGGCTGATCTAATCTGCTATTCTGCATGTAATTAAACCTCTAAACCCACTAGTATTCAGGTGCATTTTCTTCATCTTACTCTGTCCGACTAGTTTTCTCAAGTAGCAAAAGAAGACTAAAAGCTTTTACTCACAAGTATATGCAATCGTTCATTCTCTTCTATCTTTTTCTGAAGATCTTCATTGAAGACGCTTTTCTGCTCTTGACTCAACTGAGATGAAGATTCTGCACTTTTCTAAAAAAGAAAAAAAAAGCAGCTACATGCATTATCCCCCAGTGTGTGGGGGCATCCTAAAACCCAACCCCAAGTGTATGAAAACACTTCCTGATCACCAATTCCCAATGGAGGCACGTTAAAATGTATCTTAAACTGAAATATCTAAAGATACATGTATTGAGCACAGCATTAGCTTCAAAGCAGCACTTTTTCCTTTGCACTGTTATTGTACAGTGGTAGAACATGATTTAGTAAGGGCTAAGGAAGCCTCTACTCAGACTTCACATTCACACACACAGAATGGTTTGTATGGGCACATTCCCATTTGACGTTATTTGAGTCTTTCATGATTCCAAGCAGTTGGCAATGTTAACCCCTGCACACGAAGGCATATGCAGGTCCTGGAACCAAATAAAAGCTTCATCGTCCCCCATCAAGTGTCTGTGTGTAAGGTGGTATGGTCACACCAGGGATAATCACAAGAAGCATTCTACAGCCTGCCACTGGATAATGCCAAGCAGCATTGGAGAACACAACACCTATGAACGAGAACACCTGAAATATTGTGGTACATGTCCCTCCTTCTAAAAGGACTGTGATCTGATGCAGATCATCCAGCAGAAACTTAAATTCAGTAATTCTATATGTGATTTATTTGGTCTCCTGATGGCAAGTCTTGTTAAGTACGGCGTACTAATTCAATGTCATACTATATTCAACAGAAATGTACTCAATGAGGCCCTACAGCTAAAACTAAACAGAGCATATCTAAAAGGTAACACAAACACATCTTAAAATAATAGAAAGCTATGCATTCTAACAGTTGAACATGAAAGAAAAGACAGAGGCAATGGTTTGAAAGCCTGCTCAAGCCAGGCTGAGGTCCTTCAAAACTTGAAAACCCATTTAGTGAAGCTGTGAATTATGTAAAATGAAATAAAAGGACAGAATGGCCAAAATGCATTTTGAAGAAAAATCTGTGGGTTTTTGTTTGTTTTTTAAGTTTTGACAAAAACCATTCATCTAAAGACTTGATGCAACATTAACTGCTGCTAGAAAACAGTATAAAACGCTGACAAGTGAGAAACAGACATCTGCTAAGCAAATAGTTTGCCTTTAGCATATACCTTGTTCTTCTTCCCTCTGGCTTCACTTAATGCAAGTTCATCCTGAAGTAACTCCACCCGCTTGGCAAGTTGCTGATTTCGAAAGGTCAAGCTGTCCATTTCTTGTTGCAGTTTTCTCAGTGATTGATCCTTCAATTTCAGTTGCTCCTGAGTGACCAAAAAATTAGATTTTAAAAGCTATCACATTTACTTTCATACATGCTTTTTATTAAAAGTGTCATAAGCACTCATTAAAAATTTGCTTTCTTCAGTATTTGGACACTGATGAGGCATAAAGAATTGTTTATAAACTGAAAAAAAAAACACAAAACAGAAGAATTAAGAAGCGACTTTCTACTTTTACAAAGTGAGCACCTACAGAGAACAATCAACACAGTAGTTGCAGAACAGAAATTCTTAACTGAATCAATTTCCTTCTTCATTCTTCTAATCACGACACTGAGTTAAAAAGCCTTCCGTTTACCTATTTTGTCACAGTTTAATACATCTGACATGAGCATTTTCTGGGGATTACCTTCAGAGCAGCAGAGTTTGCTTGCTCATCTACAACCCCTTTTTTCAGTACTTGGTTCTGAGCTCGAAGCTGAAAAAAAAAAAAAGATGACATAACTATGCAAGAATAACAAAAGCAATTCACTAGAAAGTGCAGAAGACATTGTATACATTCATGACAGCAAGAGATGTGCATTGCTTCTTAGAGAATTCTGTTCAAGAAGGCAGTTAGCAGGTTGAAAAAAGTATTAGTTTCAGATCCTGAATTGCCAAGATATAAGACATTATTTAACCAGCTGAACTTCTTGGGTCAAGTAAAATTTAACTCTCAGTAACTATTTTGAAAATGAACAACTCAAATACAGTTAAGGTTTTAAGAACCGTGAACAATTACAGAAAAGTCACAACTTCTTGCTCAGATACGTTGCTGCTTCTGCCTCTTCCCTGTTCTCCCCAGAACTGTTTGTGACTGGCACTAGAACATAAGCAAAGTTCATAATGAAGTCAAAATTTGTTTTAATTCAAGAAGAGCATAACTTTACTCTAAGGAAGAATACCTATTACCAGAAGCAGCAGATAATCCTGACAACGCTTTGACAGAAGCCCTGGGAAAGCATCTAAGAAGCATACAAGGTACAGCCCTCTCCGACTTACTTATGAAGTTCACAAATCTGAGCTAAAAATCACCAAGGTGAAAAGTGCCAGTCAGGACACCTGTTTGCCAGTCACTTCATAGAGCACCTCTACTCTGCAGCACTAAGGCTACCAGCAGCCCCATCCTTCCATTTCTTGATCGCTGCTTGAGTCCCGGTTTCCGCAGTGGTAGTCTATTCATTTAACGTGTTTGAGTCCAGCCATTGCAGATACAAATTAAAGGGGCTTGCACAGTCTGGCAGAAGCATTAAAAGCAAGATTCAATGTAACACAGCAACAGCTAACCTTTATCAGTGTGATATTTCAATATATTTCAAAAGGTCAAAAGTCAACTGGCATCACTAAACACCAGCTTTTGCCCTGCAGTATTCCTGTTGTGCTGCTCCAGCATCGCAAAGGAAAGAGGAGAAACTTTCAAGAGCACCACAGATCTCCAAGTATGGGCTGTCCCCAACAAGAAGAAGCAGCGCAGCAACTTTCTGTTCCTTTTATCCACCACAGCTATTAACACAGGAACACGTCAGGTGCAGTGATAGAACAGAATAAACTAACTCAATCGTGCTGCACCAAGATATCCAAGCTGAAGCATGATGCACAAGGTGAAAGAGTGTTTTGATTACTGCTTCCATCAGAGCTGTGTGGAAGAGCAAGAAGCTCTAACTAAAATGGAAGAAAAGTTTCTGAAAAAAAACAAACCCTTCTGGGGTGCTCTGAACCAAGAAGGGAAGTGATCCTTTGCCAGGTACTTTCCTTGTTGCTTCCTGAATCTATCGAGCGCTTCTCTGCCCTGTTCCCTGGCTTCCATAGCATCATTAGTGAACAAAGTGAGCACTGGTGAGCAAAGAGCTTGATAGGCACACTCTCCTTTTCCACCCGCACACAATCACCAGCCAATTCAACAACTGATTAGTTGCATGAAAGTGTTATTGGAAAAGGTGGTCCCACAACGTCCTGGGGCTGCTCCACAAGAAACAGGACGAGACCAAAAAATAGCTCCTATAAAAAACCAACGAAACATTGCAAGCTGACAGCTGCAAAACGAAGCTCAGAGAACGCTTCTGCACAGCGTGATAACAAAAGAGAGGCTCTGGCAGCTGGAGCATTTCGAAGATACACCAAAAGGTGCAGGTTTCACAGTGCCGTCCAGGAACCAAGCAGACAAGCCCTCAGCCCCCTTATCAGACCACAGCACCGCTTTGCACGTATCAGAAGGAAAAGCACCGCGCTGTGCGACAGGAACCTCCGCACCCCGCGGCTGCGGCACCGCCTCGCCCCCCCGGCCCGGCCCGGCCCGGCCCGGCCCGGCCCGGCCCGGCCCCGGCACCTTGGAGTACTCCTGCGCCAGCTTCTGGTACTTCCCCGGCAGCTCGGCCGCTGCCGCCGCCGCCATGGCCCCGCCGGAGGAAGGCCGGGCGGGCGGGCGCGCTTCCGGGTTGAGCGTAATGACGTCAGCACGCCGCCCCCTTACGGCCGCGGGAAAGGAGGGGGGGCCGGGGAGAGGCTTCGGCCGGCGGCGCCGCCATCTCGACGCAACTTCCAAGATGGCGGCACGGGGAAGACTGGCGCGGTTGGCATGGCAACAAGTGACGCGCCCCGCGCGGGCTCGTCGCTACGGGGCGCCGCCGCGGACAAAAAGGTGCAGGGCGGAGCTGCGACGCTGCCGGGCGGGAAGGCGCCAGGGGGCGCGGGCGCCATTTTGGGGCAGCCGTTAGGGCGCTGAGCCGGGTGTGTGCCGCCTCCGCTGGCTGTGGGGCCCTTTGTTCAGCAGCCTCCCTGCAGCTTCCCCACTAGTGCACTAATCATCTCCTATCTTCTTCATCCCGTACATTTCCTGTACAATAAAATGTGTATGCACCATAAGCACCTATCCAGCAGAATCTGAAGACATTGTAGTCACTGTATTTGGTTGTGGCATACCCATCCAATAAAGATTTCTTTTTATTTATTTTTTTAAACGATTGAGATCAGGTGTCCGAAGAAAAAAAACAATAAGGCAAAACCTTAATGATATTTAAGCAGCATATGCTGAGCGTCAGGTGATCTGCAGGTTAAAGGCTTCCTACGTAGTCTAGTATAGACATGTAAAAGCAAATTATAATTTTTGTTTACTTTCAATGGTATCTATGGTATCTTTTTTTAAATTTTTTCCTGCTGAATTCTAACACGTCTTCATAGTCTTTCCTCAGTTGTAGGTAGTGTGAGGGATGCTAAATCATTGTTTTTTCACCTCCTTTTCTGTTTCCCTGAAGTAAGAAGTAGTGACCTACAATGGAAGCTAATTCTTTGTCTTGTAGCTCTGATGGTGTTTGCTATTATTTTGCTTGTCATGGTAGCGGAGGTGGCAAACACAAATAGGACGTGACAGGAAGATTAGCAAATACGTTTGTATCTCCAGAGGAATTCTTATGTTGGAGGATATGTCACTGACCCATATTGCCAGGAACAGAGACTGCACATTTTTACAAAGTCTAAAAGGGGGTAAAAGCAAAGTACATGTTAATCGCTATTCATCCAAATGATCTTGATGCTGTTCTGCATGACCAGATGATCTTACATAGCTATACTGGAATAAGGAGGCTCTAACAGCAGAGCCATGATAGACTGTTCCTTCTACTCTGTTTTGAGTAGTACTCCCTACAGAAGTTCCTAAGAAAGTATTTGGAAGTACACTGCAATCGCTGTTCAGCATACTGGGGTTAATAATAGCCCACCTCACATTGTATGTCTTCACATGTCAGCGTGGTAATTTTTATACTGGAAAATTATTAAAAACATTTATAATTGATTCTAAGTCTGTGTTTTGAGGTTTGATTCTCTAGGATGTATCTTTCATGAAATGTTAGACTGAATTGCTTTGAGCATACACTGCAAAAGACAGTACTCCTGTTTTGTCATGTGTTCAAAGATGCTTTTGTGACAGAATTTTCTCCTTGTATCTGGTGCGGTGAATGCTGGCAGAGAGGTTTTACAGGTGAAAGATGGGAAACGATGCTGATGGGGTTAGAGTGCATATTGTGAATTGTTTCCACAGACTACGACAGCGATTCTGACTGGGCAGCTGTATTCAGGGTGGAATAACATGGACTTTATTTACCTGAAACCATCTAGAATGTCCAAATCCAAACATACGTTATATAGGGTATTTATCATGGGAGGTCATGCCAGCTTCTTAAAACCCAAGCAGACTGAGTGGATCAAAAGATGGGTGCTCATACTGCTTAAAGGCTGTAAGGCTGACTGCAGGATTTTTAGGCTCATCAGAAACATGTCTAGTTCAATGTATTTTGAGCCACCACCAGGCCAGCATTTGAGCACCACAAGGCCAGCATCTTGTATTTTAAAGTCGTGCCTTTAAACCAGCTTTTCATGGATCCTGGAGTCCAATAAAATGTTAGCAATGTATAATGTTGTAATTTATCAATGTTCTGGGGTGGTGCTTGGTAAACAGGTCGAGTCAAAGTTCACCAAGCATACAGGTAACAAAAGGTTTAATTGTTTACTTCCTTATAGCAAATTATCAGATTCATCCTTTGATTTGTCGGTGCAACTGCGTACTATTTGTCATAGCTGTAAGAAGGGGAAGTGTCGTTATTGTGAAGTTCCCTCTCAAGCACTTTCTTAGTACTTGCCACTGCCTAGAGAGCAAGGTTGTCCAGCCCCTGCACCAAAGAGGTGCACAGTGCACGTAGCTGCAGTGTGGTGCAGCGGTGCTCACCCGTCAGTGATCCACTACGTGACTGCAAAGGACCGACCGATCCTGTCAGCAGACAATCAGAGCAAGAGAGGTCAGCCGAGTGGAATGCCAAGCAGCGTCCCATGGTTGCCACAGGACCGCCAAAATATTGTCTTCTGCAAGGTCCACCCACATAATAAAAGAACACATTACCCCAGCAGAAACTGATGCAAGCTGAAACATGACATGTTGAACAACAAAAAAACCCTTACCAGGGTCATGGCATTTTTGCTTGTCTTGTTGGCTTTACTGGGGAGAATAGAGAGCAAAGAATATACAGTGGATCAGAGGTTGTCCTTTTCTTACGTCTCTACCCAGTGGGTGTTGAATTCTAGGTGGTGTCTCAAGACAGATAATTAATTTAGGAATTACAGTGGTCGTTTTGGTATGTTCTCCTTTTAAGCTCATTTGTCCTCCCTTCTCTGCTCAAACAGTGCTGTCTGGTTAATCATAACTTGCACTTCACATATCCTGTGAATAGGTGCAGACAGAGAAACAAACAAAGGATATATTTTCAGTCATCCAGGATGTTTTCTGTGCTTTGGGAAAATAAACTTTGTTGCCATCCCTTACATGCTTACAAGTATTCACAACAAAAGGGTTTCTAAGATCTGGAAAATTTTCAAAAATGATTGGAAGGGAGCCATCTTCAGTCATCAGACTATCACAAGAAATGCAGAAACCACATCCTCGGAAGCTGCAAACACCCTAAACTGCTGTTTTGTTTCTGTTATCTTAGCAACGGCAAGTATGAACAGCAGGATATGTGCTCACGATACGCACTCATTATTTCTCATGATGACTCTGTAGCAAGCCTTTTGTTATATTATAACCTTTCACCTCTCAAAATCTGATTATTCTGCTAAAATCAAAAAGAGCCAAGTACTAAAAAAAAAAAAATTAAAAAATACATGTACAGAAATGCACTTCAAAGAACTTTTTTTTTTCATTATTTGTAGTCTTCATTATCATAATTTCAGCATTTATGTAGCATTTAAAAATAGCAGTGAAAACAAATCCCTCTGTCTCTTGCGTCCCTTCCCAGCCCATAGGATAAGCAGCTTGAGTCAAATCTAGGGTGTGTGCATGGCTGGGGGAGTGCTGTCTTTGCATAGGAAGAAATTACTGAGAGCAAGAAGATGGAAAAACTGAGCAAGCAGCTGCCTGTGATAATTCCGAGCTGACTTTGCAGCTTGTGCAAGTTTTCTTCACATCTTTCAAACTCTTCTCCCTGGAGATGGGCTCCACTGCAGTACAGCCCATCCCAGCCCTGGGTGCAACAGCAGCGACTTTTGTGTCTTCACAGCAAATCCTTGCTGTTGTTTCACAGAATCACAGGAAGGTTAAAGTTGGAAGGGGCCTCTGGAGGCCATCTGGCCCGGCCCTCCTGCTCAGGCAGGGACACCTTGAGCAGGTTGTCCAGGACCACATCCAGGTTGCTTTTGAACATCTCCAAGGAGAGAAACTCCACAACATCTCTGGGCAGCCTGTTCTGGAAAAAAAAAAAAAATGCTTCCTGATGCTCAGACAGAACCTCCTGTGTTCCTCTTTGTTCCTATTGCCTCTTGTCCTGGCATTGAGTCACCATCCCCGGAGGTCTTTAAAAGACGTTTAGATGTAGAGCTTAGTGACATGGTTTAGTGGGGGACTGGTTAGTGTTAGGTCAGAGGTTGGACTCGGTGATCTTGGAGGTCTCTTCCAACCTAGGTGATTCTGTGATTCTGTGAAGAGCCTGAAGGACTGATATCAGTATGGACTGCTAAACATAACAAAAGTTTAACAAATAAGACCACTTGCACTTGAATTCTAGACTCTTGCACATTTACTGAAGAAAGAAAAATAAAGACAATGTACATTATTTCCAGAGAGTTAACCGGTTTCACAGAGAAAAATAAAAGAACTGAGAAGGAGCATTATGAAGACTGTGAAGTGAGAAGTCAACACCCTTTCCTATATACTAGTTGTGGACAAAGACTTGCAAGCCTTTGGGAGCAGGCCCTACTCCCCCATGTGAGTGACATCAACAAGCCAGGAGCTGTTAGCTGTAGCAAAAATTGCATGGTCTTGTCTTAATTTTCTAAATCCCACAGAGACAGACACATGAGCAGAGAAAGGAGAGAAATCTGGCAGATTTACTAGTAATTTAGGGAATATTTTTATCAGAACTGCTCCTGTTCATGAGCACTTATAAAAATACGGCATCTCCAAAAATAATTTGGGCTTTTGGAATGAGCCAAAACCAGGTCTTCGGTACATAAAAACTCGTGTGGAAAAAGAAGAGACATGGAGGACAGGGGAGCAGGGTTCATCACTGACACTGCACAAAAAGAAGGCACAACACAGTGCAAAAGGAGAGCATAATAAACAATTATTTGTTCATCACAGGCAGGGATGGGAAACGTGGACTTGAGGAAACAGAATAGGGACACCCCAGGAGGATGGAAAGGCAGCAGGGGTGCGTTATGATCAAACTGCCTGCTGGAGAAAGCGCTGTGGCAGGGACAGGTTTGTCTGTGTGTGTTAGTGTGAACTGGAAAGGAGAAACAGCACGAGGAGCAAACGGGGTCAGTTCTGAATCTTAACAATAGGAGGAAGAAGAATCTGAGGGGAGTTTGCAAGGCTGAGATGGCCTGTATTAGCTTTTTAAAAAATATAAATGACCCAATCCTTTTTTTTTCTTTGTGTTTTACTATGTTTTATGAATTTCTGTGTGTGTGTGTGTGTGCAGTCTTCAATTTTTTTTTCTTCTCTTCATGGCTCTGATACTGAACAGTAGAAGCAGTATTTTTTCAGCTGAGTAAAATATCACATGCCTTTAAGAAGCTAGCAGCAAATGGGAGTGCACGTTCAAGGAGGTATGTATTAATTAATCAAGGAATGGCACAGTTAGAAATACTTCCATTTTTTGTAAAATATGAGTAGGCTTTCAGGCCTCTACACTTTAGACAGAAATAAAATGAATAAAAAAAAAAGGAATTGGCACTTCATAATGATCTGTAAATGTTCTTTGTAATCTTTTAAGAGAGTTACTTTCCCAGTATAAAATAAATAAATAAATAAACACATTTCAAAATGAGAGCACTTCATTGGAATGGTTCCAAATAAGAAGACAGGCTACTTAACTTCAATGAAATTCAGCTAATGGGAGGAGGACACATAATACCACTAAAAATTAAAGCCTCAGTATTATGGGCACCTACACATCCATAAGCATTGATTCATTCAAAAAATAGTATTCCTTAGAGAGAAGGTAGGCGCAAGCCACTTGTGCAAGCCAGCAAAGGAAAGCAGATTCACAGAATGACAAAGCTCTGTTTCCCACCCCAACCGTAGCCACTACTTCTGTGCACAGATCAGCACCAAAATGAAATTTCATACCAAGATCTACCCCAGGTGCTTGTGCTTCTCCTGGCTGTGAGGTGCTGCGTGTTATAAATAAAGCAGCGACGCCACCAGAACCAAGGTATTTCCGAAGCCTGGAATTCTTAGGACGCCAACAAGTAGTGATTAACAACCCCATTGGAAATAACGAGCCTTGACAGATCTAGGGTTAAATACTTTAAAATTAGATCCTGCTGAAAGCTGAATCTTGTTGCTTAGCAGCGGCTGCATGGGATGCTGCTGTCACTCAGCGATGCTTCTCTGGGGAGCTCGCGCCGTGCGCACGGAAAATGGGTTGCCATTGGGTCAAGGTGACATCATGAAGCACAGCAGCAGCATTTTCTTAAGGTAGAATGCAGCACAAATGCACTCAGCTCTGGTAGCTGTGCAGCCCCTTGGACATCTAAGGGGACATCTGGCTTTTCTTTTGAAACGGCTCGGCTGCAGCACCGCGTTGCCTGCCTCGAGGAAGGGCTTGCACTCTTCGTGCAAAACAGCAGCAGCGGGGTGTTGGGGCAAGTGCACCACCGTCAAACCCAACAGGTGGATTTGTAATCTTTTCAAATCATTTGTAACCAAAAGAAAAGAAAGGGAAAATGTCTGTAATTTGCGGAGGTCACACTGGGTATTAAGAACATAGCATCTACCACCAGCATTAAAAAAAAAATGCATAAAGCTTATAAGAGAAGAGAAAATGTACCCTTACTGAAAATAACTGAAAATTTGGTTAGCTGAGCTGAGCTGACCATTTAAAACAACTGAGGTCCTACTGGACCAAAATACCAATTTAATTAAATCAAAAAAAGCCTTTGAGGCATGATGACTTTTAAAAGTAATGTTGCACAGAGGTTGATAGAGGTATCTACTGACTTTCAAGCACCTGACTGCCAGCCAAAAAGTACATCAACTCCTTAGTGCTTCTGATGTTGGTCTGGCAGGGACCAAACTGCATCTGTAGGCTTGAAAACCCCCCAAGTAATTAATTACTGCCACCTTTTTAGGAATGGATGCAAAAACTGTGCATTCAATCCAGTCTAGTGTGCTGCCTATTAGATCTTGGGCAGTCAAGAAACTATGGAAACAGAAATTATGACAACCAGCAAAAAAGCAAAACTCAGCTAAACACATGAAATGTTAAGAAATGGGTTGTCTTTCTCTGGATGTTGAAGGAGCACAGAGAAGCCTTTGGTTGAAGGTAGTCATTCAGATGATTCAGATTAAGTGCGATGATGGCAAATGCAGGGTCTGCTATTAGGACACGAGACAAAGGCAGCTTTGTCCCTTGTGTTTAAAACAGAAAACACAACCCTGTAGATAACTGTAAACTGAATGGATCAATGTGCATTTATGAAATACATATCATGGCTGAAACAGCTTGTCTTTTTTCCTTTATTTGCTAGACGAAAGAACTGCATTAGGCTCACACTGTTTGTACTTTGGGAAACATTTGATATAATGCCACTAATTTTTAAGTGCTTTTACTAGTCCCTGTCATTGCAGACCACTGGGAGAAAGAAGAACTGGTTAAAGTACAGCCTAAGACAGCTGTGCCAAAAGGGAGCTTTTCTGGTGAGCAGAAAGGTTACAAGGACAGATCGTGAAGGATTGGGACACATCTCATTAAATGGAGTTCCAGGCCCCAAACTACCAACCTTTTCTGTTGCCTGAGGCATCACGGTTTGGAAGTAACACAGGAGAACAAAGATACAGACACATGAGTTGATAACAGGATAAATCAGGGCCATTAATAGGCTAGAACACACCAGGCAAGATAGTGGTGCTGCGAAGGCAGGGAAGTGTTAAGGCCAGATCACAAAAAGCAGTGGCATTTTCGAAGAGTGTCTACAGTTCCTCATGCATGTGCCAGTGTGCTGAGTTCAAACGGGAATTAAGCTAAAGAACGAGAAGGGTGTTTAAGAGGAATGCAGATCATGTCCTCAGAGCAGAAACCGAGTAATCTTGGTTTGTTTCGTAACTCAAGAGCATTAACAAGGGGCATGGTTGCTTTTGTATTGATGCAATGGGAAAATAAACACTCACACATTTAATGACGCTCTTTACACAAATGCTGGCAGGGGATAGTTAATAATCTTATATGAGCTCCAAGAAGTTTGTAACTGTAGGAGCAGGTAGCTTTCAGGAGATCCTTCTCAAAGAGCAGGGGGAACAAGAAAACTGGCCGATCTGAAGACTAAAGAATTCAAGCAGAGGTAAAAACAGACGAGTTTCTATGTCCCAATTATGCTGAGAAACTTCACAGTAATATTGCTGGACTTCTACTAATACTCCTATGTAATTAAGCATGCCAGATGTTCACCATTACATGTATTTACTCAGAGTACTCATTAAGAACACCTACAGGTATTTGGAAGCTCAAGATCTAGGAGAGTATTAGCATATTCTGTGACAAATTTAGCCTCTCGTTGTTAAAAATAAATCTGATCTATTAAGTGAACAAATGTCCTTAAAATACAGCTGGCATAACTGGCTAATTGCTTCAGTTAATGCTTTAGCTCAAGAGTTGTGGTTCCAGACAAAGGGCAATTCCCAGCGAAGCCGTAACAGAAGAAAACACTCCTGGGACATTTAACAATGAACTAAAGGCTCTCTTAACACAATGTAGTGAATAACAATTAGAAAGATGTCATTTGTACATGATACTTAGCTGTGATTTTGTCTGGACTAATTAGAGCAGTCATTCTATTACCAGTATATTAAGATGAACACTACATCAAAGACACCAGCAGTGCATATATATTCTGCAATTTGTGGTTTAGATTCTAAATGGTACGGCGCGGAAGGTAAGTTTTAGTTAAAATCTAGCATATAGATTTCAAATACTGCAATAAAAACTGTTGTATTTGCACCAGATCCTACAGAAACTCACTCAGTGACACTAGCTGTTAAAAAATAAGAATAAAAATAGGACAGTGACGCTAATATTGGCTTTTAAGAGGCAAAAGCATCATATCACATCCTGTTTCCCTGCTCTGATGTTGTCACCTGCAAGATGGACTCAGCCCATGAGATGTAGACCCACTCTTCCACAATTTGCTAGAATCACTCCTCTTGCTCCTGCTTTCCTCACCGTGCAGCCTCAGGCTTTACAGCAGTGTTAAGGAGTTAACCTAGCTTTTGCCCAGGAAAATTAACCTCAGCATGGACTACACTGAAATGATGGAATTCTGCTTCCAGATAATTCTGGATAATTCTCCTGGTAGACAAGCAGAGACAAAGCGAGAATGGGATGGCAAGCACTTCATTCCTGCTGGTGAAGAGGAGGTTCTTGCCACACCTATGCTTTCCATAAGGTCTAATGTATAAAGATGCAACAGACCCCATAAATCATAGCTAAATAAAAGTAAACAAATATCTAAAGTACTGAAAAAATATCAAATGAGAACTATGTAGCTTTCTTTATCGAGGGATATGTTCTTTAAATTATCCATTCCATACGACCCTGCTATCTTTGAGTTATCACACAAGCAACGTAGCTGCAGTGGTGTGGAAACAGAACTAAAAAATCAGAGGTACTTCATCGGGAAAAAAATAGATATTTGTTTTGCAAAAAAGCAAACAAACCCAGTAAGATGTGTCTCACAGGAGGGCAAAAGGTATGCAGTAGTATTCCTGCAATTTCAAAGATGTCAAAATGTTCCTCGAGTTCCACTAAATCTTGGCCTTAATAGGATATACTTCAAATATACTATGGGCCAGTTTCTTCGGATGAACTTGTCCGAAAGCAAATCCTGCTCTGAATTGATAAGGTCCCGTTACCATACAGATTACTCCCACATGCACACAATGTTCTAAACCAAGGCAAGAATGAATGAATTACATTATTTTATTTTTTTTTGCCTTTTTTTTTTTCCCCCAAACTAACCCGGTTTTGTGTAAGATTGAAAGGGGAACACAGGTCTCTCAGAACACCGAGACCAATACCAAGAGGTGTTGATAAAGAGATAACACAGTGCTTTCTGTTTGTAATGCCGTTTATTTTATAAAAGCCCCTTTGATCATCTGAATGAAAAATGTGGGCAGAAAAGTCACAAATGTTATAAAACAAAGTTTATTCTGCAATATTTTGTCATAATGAATTGCATCTCTTTGGTAAAAATAAACTTTATAAACATTTTAATTAACAGAGATTAGCATACAAAAAACTAAACTTCTGTAAATATTCTTTAAAATGGGTAAAAGACTAAACTGGAGGAAAAAGGGTTAGAATTGGTCACCTACTGGCAAAATTATTCTAAACAAACCCAAGGACATTGCTTATGCTACATTAGAAACAAGCTAACGGGAACATTTTAAAAACAACTCTGGTTCATTTGATCAGAAAGCATTCTTACAATTCACTTTTAAATAAATAATAGTTACAATGAAATGGCAATTATAAAATGTTTTATATCACTATATGGCAGCAACATAATACTTTTAATTATGCACTTTTTAGTTTGAAGAAATGTACATTTATAAAACAGACAATAATGGCACTGGTAGCTGTGAAGAATGTGCTTTAAGATATAATGGCAGGTGCAACATTTAAAATATTCTACCTTTTCTTTTCAATAAATATTTTGACTACACCATTATTAACATGTATGAGTGTAGTTGGCTTTAACCAAAGCTTTTACTTTTCCATCTGATATGAAGTTGCAAACCACGCAACTACCATTTTAAAGTCGGATTTGAAAACATTTGATGCAACTTTTACAAAAGCAATAATTTAGCATTTGAGTCTGAAAGACCAGTACAGGTTTGTACAGTATTCACATCAGAATTTACCCAAAGCAGAGCAGCCTCCCTTGTACACCAGTCTCACACACTTCTCCACTGTATTTAAAGGATTGAATGTGGTTCACCAATACTTTTGTTGCCTTTTCACTGCTGCTAAAGTATATCTGAGTTGACCATTGGCATGAACATTTTACATAGGTCACTAAAAAAAGAAACAAACCCCAACAGTCAAAATAACTTTTAATTATATTCCATTTATACTATATACACCAGGCTCCTTAACTCAGGTGGCAAACAAACCCAAACCCAGTTCTAGCTACGAAAGTGAAAGGAACAGCAGCTGGTCTCCGACTACAAAGAGGGGCTGCTCCACAGCCGAGCTGGCAGCTGCTGCCTGCAAAAATGTGCAGGGAATGGCAGGGGAAAACGTGGTGCAGCACATCAGGTGCACAGAGCCGCTGCCCTCCCCATCAAAGCACGGAGAGCGTGGGGTGCGTGACTTCCCCTGCCAGACTTTCAGTTCTCTCGGGCTGTAGGGATGGATGCAGCTTTCACTGTTAACTGTTTATTAGCATGGGGTTATTGCTCATTGCACGTGGTCATTAAATGCATTGGCAGCCTCTCAGTCCCATACCTTCCGTAAGGCTGAAGCCATTATCACCAGCTTCAGCCACGCTCCTAGAAATATTAACGTTCTCAGATGTTATCCAAAGCAAAAAAAGAATCAAAACAAACCCAAACCATGGAGCTGAGCATGACCACAGTTTCCAGAGTACCTGGATCTTGATCCAGCTTTTATTGGAAGTTAAGAGAAAAGCTGCACCCAAAGCCAGCATGACCTATATGGCACCCACCTTCAATAGCACCCCACTGAAATCATGGCACTGAGCAGAACTGCAGCCTGCTACTGTGATCTCTGTGTAGTTGAATCCTCATTTTCTGCATCGACACGCTCTGCCCTTTACAGTATTCCATCAAGATACAAAAGCAAACTGTGAGCAAAAAGCAGTTCCAACAAGCATTCACATCTCCACATCCAAAAATCCTACGAACCACTGCATTTAAACTTCTTTTAAATAGCGAGTTTTCCCGTACTATCCACCAGTAACACATCCAATATCAGATCTAATCGGCTAATGCACCACTTGTGATATCCAGAAGACATACACATCTGTACAAAGTGTCCTGTTACGGGTATTAGACTAATGGGTGTTCACACGAAGCAGGAATGCATCAGAGCACTTCTCTTCCCTTTCAAGAAATAAAACAATTCATTCTTAAAACTGAAGTAATTGATTGGGGAGGGGGAAAAAAGACCTTTTCTAGTGTTTGTGCTTAAAAAAAAAAAAGTTGGCTTTTAATTCCAAAACATGCTACAAAAGAACCTCGGGTATTTCAGGCTTGATCCAACAGCCATGAAATCAGTGGGAGCACCACTATTGTCTTCAAGAGGCACTGAACCAGGCCCTCAGAGCAACAGCCCTTCAGCAGCACGGCTGTATTCATATTTAAAGGAGACAGTTTATGGCAGTACTCATGGAAAGATTGACAAATAAGAAAAAAACACTGATCTATAGAAGGCCTCCAAAGAGCCAGAAAAACACTCCACTAGGGAAAAGTTAACTTTTGGCTGAGTCCAGCACTGTCTTCAACAACCAAAACAGCGGACATTGATTTCCTACTTCTAATTCTTAACTGGCTTTGTTTGCCCAACACCTGCTGGAAACAATAGCTTAATGTGTTAGCTAAAAACTATGCCACATCACTCTACCTTTCCGGAACAGGAAAGATGACCTTTTATAGTCTTCTACAATTCTGAAACATACTTAAGGCATCCTTATACTTACAGTACTGTTAAAACCCACTCCAACAGAACTGCATACCCATCTTTGAACAGAAAACCTTAAAAAAAAAAAATCATCAATCATCACTTATTTTAAAATTAAAAATATAAACGAGGAAAAAAAGTTCATAATACCACTAAAGCATTTTTGGCCAAAAGATGTCTGGGAACTCTAAAGAGATTCTTTTATTGCAAAAATGAGTTGTGAAGGAATTCCTTCCCAAAACAGAGAGGTCCTCCTGAGTTACAACTTACATCCAGAGGCCAAAGGCTAGCCTTGCTTGTTAGATGCACTGCATGTGGCAGGAGGCTAAAAGGACTCACAGAGCACAAGGCACGGTGATCTGGGACACAGAGGGTAGAGACAGCCAAAGACTCCCAAAATGCAAGTTCGGGTTCACTAATTCAAAAGGAAGCTATTCTACTTGGTTTCAGATTAGGGGGGTAAAGAGCTCTTCCAGCAGTTGTTCACAGCCTAGCCACCTGAAACCTCTGCCTCTGGCTGAGTGTTTAAAAAGGACAAGCTGCGGTGTTCTTTATTCTCTGAACCCATCTCTGTCAGTGGGGAGCAGGAGGGTTGGTGTGGCAGTGGGACAGCAGCAAAACGTAACGGCTGCATTAGCAGAAGTACTCTAGCTTGGCAAATGGCAGCTTTCACTGCTGGCTGCACCCAAGGCAGGTGTGAAATGACCCCTCCTTCTGCCACCCCCCAGACAATTTGTCTCAAGATGACAAGAAAAAGCTCGTTTCCTTCAGGAATCTGACCTGGATGCAGCAAGGTGGTGGTAGGGGTGCAGCAGGAAAGAAAAACAAAGCAGAAGGTGGTACCCACCTCAGCTACCCCTTACCCGCTCTGCCAGGAAGGGTTATACTCCTTGCCTGGGGGCACTCAACGTCTTGTGAAAGCAGCTCCGGGAGTGCTGCAGTTTTTCAGCCACTTTACTGGGTGGGCTGAAATCTGCAGACCCTCGGAACTGCCTCACCAGCATTTCCATCAAAACCTGTGGCAGAAAAACAAAGAGAGGGCAAGCAGGAGGAAGCAACTGAGGCAAGAACATTTTATTTCCCTTTCTTTTTTTCTCCTCCTCTTTAATTCTTGACGTGGAAGTCGGAGCCCTCAGACAGGGCAAAATTCACCTCTGCACATGGGGCCAGCAGAGATGTCAATATGATCCACAATGTGCATCTGAGCAAACATAATCTGGAAAAAAAGTAACTATTAAAAAGAAAAAAAAAGGAAAAAAGTGATCATTAAGAAGTATGCTTTCAGGTTTTCACAAGTCATGCATCTCTTCTAATCTGAGAAGATTAAATTATTTTTTTTTCTTTCTTTTTAGGCAGTGATTTAAAAATAAATGGCTAAATTACAGTTAGCGCCAAAAATAAAAAAGCAATGAGTCCTCTTATGGCTTTGATCTCCCTTGCGAAGGGTAAAAGTAGAAGAGTATTGCCACAATTAAAAAAAATATATGTATATATTCAACATTGACAAACAGACTATTTTTTCCTTTGCTTGTGACTGTGGGTCTTTGCAGTACTTATTAAGGAACCCAAGCACGTTCGGATGCCAGCAAGGTGGAGCAGAGACCCTGCTGCTTCTTTCAACTCCTCATCAATTTCTTGACATAACTCCTTGAGTGCTTTGTTGCTAGGCTGACTTTTCTCAGAGGTATCTACACAAGGTTGTGATGCATAGCCACTGTCTCCAAGAGGATCATCTTCATAGTCAACGTCTGTATCCACTTCGCTGTGAAATCCTTCACTGCCATCGCTTCCAGCATGGCTGTTCTTGGAGATAAATTCATATACCTCATCGACAGAGGACAAGGAAGACACACTGGACCTAGATGCGCAGCGCTGCGAACCCATGCTGCTAGCGCTGTAATTGTGATCCTCCTTCGGATCAATATTGGTGGCTGCAGAATCATTTTCTTGCAAATTTATCGAACTGGAAGGATTAAACGCGCTGCCGTAGCTTCTCTTCTTAGGCGTCTTCAGAGGCTGAGCTTTCTCACCTGTTAAAAAAAAGATCCATCAGTAAGCATGTACTCCTGTGAGATCACCTGAAAAAAAAAACACCACATTTTGGATGGCTGACTGCAAAGGGTAAGCTGAAAGTGAGCATTTAAGAGTTGTGACATGCCTGTTTACTGTCATCCACAGAGGACAACGGTCCTCAGCTAATCACAAATAAAAGCTGGAGAAACAGAGAAAATCTTCTTAGCATCTGGTACAAAAAGGATAGGAGAAGAATTTTGGGAAAAAAAAAAGGAAAAAAGAGAAAGTGGTTCTGTAAAACTATAAGGGTAGCAGAAAGAATAATCAAAATTGCTTCTTGGCTGCTCTTACTATCTGCAAGCTAGACTACATTCATTTAGTGAAACTTTAAAGCAAACGTATAGCTTCTAGGTAGAGGAAAGAAAACAGTAAAATGGCTTGTGCTTACAGTCTAGCATCCCTTGTTCAATGGAAGTATTCAACAGCATCATCGCAGTAGCGGCATCAATATCAGATTCTGTGAAGGAGAAGCACAAAATGTTACAGCTCAGGTAATACTGACAAAATGAGGTGTGTAGAATATGCAAAGAATATCTATCTGCATATGCTGGCCTACAGTAATGAGCAGTGGGAAAACGTGTAAGAATTCAGATAGAGCACGACTCCTACACAGTACAAAGTTAAGACACGGCGATCCAAGAGGGGCATCATACGAGCAGTTTGGTTGCAGAAGAGTCAGGTATCACATTTATGATAACCTCACACTGCACCCAGCCACAGCTGAAGACAAGAATCAGCACCATTAATTAGATGTCCATATGAGATGTTATTAGCAACAAGTGGCTTTTATCTATAACAGTTTAAAGAGAAAGATTACACATACGGCAAAGCAAAGCACCTAATCATCAGCTTCATACCCTCACTCCATGAATATGCAAGGCTGAAGCATGTAGTTAAATGCAGCATTAACTCAGCACACTTCTTTTCTACAACCTCAGCACAAAGAGCTCTCTTTGCATTATTTTTCACACTAACATGTGAAACGGAACACACAGAGAAGACAAAGGGGGAGATGGCACAGAACCGCTCCATCTAGAAGGCATGGAGATCTACATAATAAACAGGCACTTGAGAAAGATCTAAATGAACAGTGGTGCCTTTAGCTATGGTGACAAACACTGCCATAAAACGCTATCCTTTGCTGCACTGAGTGGATTACTTCAACCTCCAAGAGGTGGAGAAGCTGGGCTGGAAGACAGCGTGCTAGGAAGCGTCAGCAGTAAGTGGAAGCGTTTCTCCATCCTGCCCAGCTACCACTGAGGCAGGAGTTGCTGAAGTGAAACATCAGCCATCTCATTTTCAATGGCAGTCCCCCTGCCTTGTTACTGAATTTGAGGGGGACTGCAGAACTGTCCATTTGATTTTCTTATCTTACCTAATTTTTACTAACCTGACCCCATTTGAGGAGAAATTTGAAAAACACCCTGTCACCTTGCATCAACGTGGTAAACTGACGGAGCTGCTGCTTCCAGCACAGACTACAAAATATCCACATTCCCCACTGTCTTCACTTTTTATCGTTTTAAATCAACGTACTTCAAGCTCTATTCCACTGCACTTGCAGTTTTTATTCTCTTTTTTTTTTTTTTTTGGCATCAGAAACACACTGAGTTGACAAGTCGTAGGTCATGATTTACTATTTATAGTACAACTGATGAATTAAAAACAAATAAATAAAAAATTATTTCCATATGAAATAAAATATGGACAGTTACTTTGCTCCACTGTTGTAATCAGAAGGTGAAATAGTGTGATTTCGTACCTGCTATCACAGATTTTTCCTTTTAATAAATGATGCCAATATATAAATAACATTTTGATAAACTGATGAGTAATGGGAGGCATTAATGAAGCACTGCAACCTACAAATAGTGGTTCTGCACGCTAGCATCCACAAAGAAATAGTCACTGCAGCAGCAAAGGATTCCTCCCTGCCACCACGGTCCAGACAAAGCCTCTGTTTGGAGACGTGGTAGTTACCAGCTGTGGGACAGGTGGCTGCCCTGCCTTTAAAACCCTTGGTTTTGCTGCCCAGCAGTGTTTCTGGTTTGTGGCTGAAGACTAAACCCAACCTTCTGGCCTCAACAGCCTGAAGCTCCAGCAGAGAGCGGGGTGTCTGTGCTGCTGCTGAAGCCGTGCTTTGTTGGGGGCATTTTAACATCCTCGTGAAAGAGCCCTAAGGACAACGCTCTATGACAAATTAACACGTGCTCACTTTTTCTTGGAATTGGCCCTTTAAAATTTGAGCACAATTCAGTTTTCAGGACTTTTTTTGTAACTACCTTTGAAAAGGACAAGACTTAAGTGGATTAAGCTTTATTACTGAGTACAAGTGCTCAACAGGCTTCTTCTGCAGAAATTCTGTGACACCCCAGCATTGCTGCCTAGCTCCACTCTGGTGCTAAGGGCCACTACAACGTTAGAAAATGAGGAACACCTGTAAAAGTAGATATGGAAAAATGAAGTAACCATCTCTGCTCAGCTGCTGTTTGTTGCTACTTCTATTTGCATTTGACTGTAAGTGTCAAACACGTTTCCAGCTTAAATTGAGTGGGCTGTTTTAACTCATGGGAAGTGAAAGTAAGACAAAAGTATGGCCAAGTCCTTGCAGCTCTAACAATCTTTAAAACCTGTGAGTAGATCATAGATCGCAGTGGGCTGAGGAAGAGGACACCAGGAAGGCAGCATTGCTGCACTCCAGCAAGGTTTCCCTGAAAATAAATGGCAAAATAACAACCAACCAATTAAGGGATGCAGAGGTAAGCATGCTGGCTAGTTAAGGTGAGAGTTACACGCAGCCCTCGGTCCCAATTGTGATATTCAAACTGGGTTTCAGCAGGAAACTGCTCCTGCTAGGGCCTCAGCAAGGCACCTCCACCTGTAAGTGTCCAGAATTAAAATTAAAAAATCCCCTTGTTTCTCATGGGTTTGTCTGTGTTGAAAAAGTGCAAGAGTGGCTACATGGACATCCCCTGCTTAGCTTGCACGCTGCTGCTGGTGTAGCTGTGACGAGCTGTGCAGTTTTGCAGCTGCTGACAATGACTGTGCTGAACAACCACACATCACCACGGGTCCACTACCAGCAGTGCTGGCTGCCACAAGGGCAATCAGGAGGAATGGGCGTGTTCTGAAACATCCTTCAGACACCTGCAGTCAGCTATGTGTAATGTCATAAATGGGGAAATGATTGGACTATGGAGTTCTAGCTCTAGCTAGAAGAGATCACAGAATCACTACAGAATCACCGAACAATTTAGGCTGGAGAAGACTTAATCATCAAGTCCAACCATCAGCCTGACCTACCGAGTCATCACTAAGCCATGTCCCTTAATGCCACGTCCAAACGTCTCTTAAATATTTCCAGGGATGGAGACTCCACTACTTCCCTGGGCAGCCTGTGCCAATGCTTGACAGCCCTTTCTGAAGGAATTCTTCCTAATATCCAATCTAAACATCCCTTGACACAACTTGAGACCGTTTCCTTGAGTCCTATTCCTGAGAAAAGAGACTGACACCCTTTTGCTACAGCCTCCTTTCATGTAATAGTAGAGAGTAATGAGATCTCCCCTCACCCTCCTTTGTTCTCCAGGAAGGAGGACCCCAGTGCCACCAACCACTCCTCGTATGTCTCATTTTCTAGATCCTCCACCAACTTCGCTGCTCTTCCCTGAACATGTTCCAGCAACTCTCGTAGTGAGGGGCCCAAAGCTGAACACAGCACTCGAGGTGCAGCCTCACCAGAGCAGAGTACAGGGGACGATCACCTCCCTACTCCTGCTGGCTGCACTGTTCCTGATACAAGCCAGGATGCCCTTGGCCTTCTTGGCCACCTGGGCACACTGCTAGCTCATGTTCAGCTGGATGTTGACCATCATTCCCCCCAGGTCCCTTTTTCCTGGGCTACTTTCCTGCCAAGCTTTCCCAGCCCTGCATCGCTGCCTGGGGTTGTTATGACACAAGTACAGGACCCGGCACTTACCCTTACTGAATGTCATGCAGTTGGACTTGGTTGAGCTACCTAGGCCATAGAGATCCCTCTGCAGAGCCCTTGATCCCCTCAGCCAGATCACTGATAGAAATGTTAAACAAACATGGCTCCACAATGGAGCCCTGGGCAATACCACCGGTAACGAGCCACCACCTGGCTCAAACTCCCTTCAGAGTGGCTCCTTGAGCCCACCACAGCCACACCACTCCTCCTGGTCACATCCCCAGCACAACTCAGTCCTATCCAACCTTCCTCCTCCAACTTTCAGTGACTGCAGTTAAAATAATGGTTATACATCATCCCTAACCACAGGGAAACTCCAGTGTTTGTACCTTTCTAATCGTTTTTCTACAGAACAATTCAGTCGTAAAGAAGGTCATATTTGAGACTGATGTGTCTGCTGAATACCTTGCTGGCAAAACAACAACACTTTTACAATGTGAGATTCATCTTATGGATTTAAACTTAATACACAAGTCAATAACATCACAAGCACACATTCTATTAAATATGTTTTTTTTCGTAATCTAACAGACCCTTCAGAGAATGGTCCATACACAAAATCAGAATATGCTTGTGACTAGCAAAAAAAGCAGAGCAAAATGAAAGAAAATTAATGTTTACCTTTGAGGGATCGGCCATGATTCTGCTTAAGTACTGAAGTTAAGTAGTGAGGAGACGATGACCTACTGAAAAGAAATTCAACAAGTCAAAACCAACCCCTAATTTGCTGAATAATTTGTACAAAGTACATTAGACACAACACCATAAACATAGAAAGATTAAAAAAAATACACCATATCTTGGTGGATAAACCACACAGGCAGCCATTTCTCTTGCCCTCAGTAGATGGCCTGACACACTGATCATTACACATTGGTTATGTAGCACAGGGAGCAATCAGCAGCACTTGGAAAAACACCCCAACACACACTGAGGAAGAGTTTTGTTGGCAAGAGATACTAACTTCTACAAATCTACAAATAAAGGCTGGATATTAAATATGTGTGTGTGTGTGTGTGTGTGTGTTTGTGTAAAACCCACACGTGAACACAATGTTAGCTTACACAGACACCTGGAGCCCAGGAGCAGCAGAACAGATGCAAACCAGTTGTGTTTGTTGTTCTTCAAAGTGATGGTAAGAGATTATAAGAGATTAGCAAAACCGAAATATAGCGCTGTGCAAAAAGCTGGGGAAGAACAACAAAAACAACAACAAAGGCATCTGCTGATTCTGAAGTTAGCAGAAGCTGGTCTGTTTTGCTGGTCATGTTAGTTTTTTTTCATTATCAGGCCAACTTTCGTCTGGCAGAGTACCATTTAATACACTGCAGAACAAAAAGCTGGGCTATACATCCAGCCCTAAGTATTCAGTTCATTATAAATGTACTAGCAAACTGAAATGCATGAAATAAGAACAGTACACAACCATTAAAATTCCATGAAACACCAATAAACATTTGTAATTCTTCTACTTGTACTGTAAAGGGTGACGAACAGATTTTGGCAAGCCCAATCTCTAAAAGCTACCTCATAGGATCAATAGGACCTTTACGTTGAATCCTAAACAAAATATTTTTCACTGGTCTCTGGGTTGCTGCTGCAGCTGTGCATACCTTAGCCCCCTGAACTCAACCACTGTGCACAGCTGTTTATGAGAGATGCCCACTTAATGCCACCATGGCTCAGATTTGCCCTCAAATGATCCAAACTCAGCTTGCCATTGGTAACAGCTCCAAGGGTCATTGCAGTATGGACTGCTAATGGCAAGGATAAAGTGCACAAATTGAAGTAAGGTGACTTGAAATGTGTCATCTGAGCTACATAAGGAGCTCTGGTTGCACTGTAGACTGCCTGGCATTGGTAAAAGAAGCTAATGAAAAGGAGAGTAATGTTCAGCATCTTCCAAAGGGGTAACCACAGTGAAAAAGCTTCAGCACAGTTTGCAGATTCAGTTTGCACAGTTCAGTGCAAGCATCCAAAACTCAAGTTCACTGTCTCTTATGTTTTCTTGTGGGGGTGATGGAGTGCTGAGAGATCCAAAACCAGAAAAAGAGAAAAAAATCAAAAGGAGAGGAAGGTACCCAGCCCAACACAGCTGGCTCTGTAGTCTTCAGGTCAAGTGTACAAATAGATGCTAAATATCTTCATCCTTTCATTTGAGCTCAGATCCTTCAGGAACAATATACACAGAGCTTTACTGGATCAAATTAACACTTAGTGTATTGATTAAGATAATCTATGCATATGCATGAGGCATTTGCAAGATGAAGACTGTGGCAGTGTCCAGAGCGCAGTGATACAATACAGGTACTAGAAGCAGGACGCAGTTAGTGGCCTAGCACCAACCTGTTGAACAAGCTACAGAGAAATAAAATGCACCAGCCATGTCAATCACCTACTATAATACAAGCTTCCACTTAACTAGACACAGATTACAGTTTCAGAAAGCTTCTGATCAAAGCAACACTTTAAATTTTATTTTAGAGTGCTGTTGAATGATAGGTATATTCCCCACGAACACACTGTAAAATAATTATGAACACAAGCACTCCCACAGAAAAATTCAAGAGACTCTCGCAGTTGAATTTTAGCATTGCCCTGGAGTTAAATTTGGACGGCTGTTCCCAGTCTCCCTCCAACTGTTCCTTTGGGCTTCCTCTTTCCCTCCACATACAAGCCAACGTCTTGGGGCCCTTCCCCAGAATTAAGCCAGAATTTAAATCTAAACTCAAGATTTTTTAAACATGGAAGGGAGAAAAAAAAATGTTTTTCTGCCTATAAGCTAAAGTCTTAGACGTGTTTTTGTTATTAAAAGGAAAAAAGATAGCTTTCATTAGGAATAATTTGAGTGTCTTAAACTGCTGTTTTATCTTACTGTTCTTACAAATACAGGCACTACAAAATCCATCATGTTTTGAAGTCAGTGGAAGGTAGTTTTGCCATGTGTCTTTATGAGGGCCAGGATTTCCTTGTAATTTGCAACTATTGGCAAGTGTGATTAATCCTTCCATTTAAGAAAAAAGTTATCAAACCCAACAGCTTCAAATTGAAGTCTTGGTCTTGCCGGTACTTCAGCACTCACTGAGATAAAATCTCTCCTCCTTCCCTACACCTAATTTCACTGTGTTGTTTTTATACAAAGTTAATCATACTTCAGTGCTTATATCACGGGACTGACCTTGAACATGCTGCATACACTAAACACGTATCTGGGCAAGGCTGTCTACAGCCCACCCTAGGCTGAGTCTCATTTGATCCCCTGCTCCTTTGGCTGGAGAAAAAACCTCCAGGGATCCCTTCCAACCATTTTTGCAGCTTGTAAGGTTCAAGCCCAACCCTAAAAGCCCCTTCTACGCGAATCTTCAATTGCTGCAGACAGCTATGGCTCACATGGTGGTGTCAGATCCCAGGGTCAACGTCCTGTGAGACTCATAGAAAGTTCTGCTAAATGCTCGGTTTTACATCCTGCTTCAGTAATCCCAGTTCCTCCTGTTTGTTAAGGGAACTCCTTGCAGTAAGGCAAGGCAGAGGGCAATGTTCAGACATCATAATTATCTCTCATCTCACTCAAATCATTTGCTGAACTAGATAAACTGGCCACTTGCCTGCCTAACTCCTGATCTCAGCAGCAGCAGCGCATTCCTATTTGCTTTCTATCCTCCCACTCTCCATGCCACCTCCAAGTGCTTACTCAGGCTGACATTCCTCTTCCTGTACCAAGAATGCATGACACTGACTTGAAATTCTCTCAAAGCTATTGCCTAATCTTAAAATGCATCAAATGAGGAAGCCTTGATTTGAGAAGCGTAGCAGATTCCACCTCGCATGACGTTTAGGGTAAAGACTTTTCTTCCCATCCTCACTGCAAAATGTTTTCCCACTGCAAATGGCTCAGTGAAAAACATGACTCTCAGACCAGCACTCAACTCTTAGAAATCAGTGAGAAAAACAGTGCCTGTTTGCAAAGTCCCTCAACAAAGGCAGCATATACCTCAACATTAATTGTTCTTGTCTGGGTTATTCCAGCCAGGACCCCTGGCGAGACACAACAGAAGGGGAAAAAAAACATCGGTAGAAGGAAGAAGAAAGAATATCTAAGAGAAAGCCATCCCACTGCCCAAATGGGGGAGGGGAGGCAGGCATGGAAAATTAACAAGACCCAGAAAGAAAGAAAGAAAGGGGAAAAAAAACATGTATCTGGAATAAAATATAAAGCTTACTAAATATTTGCGGCAGAAAGAGGAGGAGAACCTGACCTCCATGGCTGTGAAATCAGTGCCTCTCCACTTTTCTCTCTTATTCAGTTATAAAGGAGACTGGGAGACCAACCTGAGATCTCTGACTCCATGATCTGCTATCTGGGAGGTCTGAGCTCATTACACTCTCTTCTCTAGCCAGTTTCCCTGCCTGTCTATCCAGTTCACCAAAGTTCCACTTCAATTCTTCTTCTCGTGGAAGTCAGTATCAACACATTAACAGCTACTTGGGCATTTCCTCTGCTAGGTGGGTGACTGTACCTGCATGCTGCACTTGTAAGAGAAAATTCACCTACCTCGGTGGTGATGCTGGTGGAGTATAAAACGCAAGTGCTGAGGGAAAAGGCTGTTTCTTCAGTGCTTGAACAAGATTAGGCTTATATTCTGGATCAACGCACCATAACGAACCTTTTCCATTCACCTGCAAGGAAGAAGCATTGCAAATTAGAACATCCAGGGACCAAGTTATTAAATATCCCCAAGACACAGCAAAGTGTGATAATGTAGGCACCAATTCTGTGCTGGTGACGTACCACACGCTCACGTGGCTCCATGATCTGCATGGATGAACGCGATGAGTGTGCAGCCTTGAGACCCCTGTTACATGGCATGGAAACGTCTGTCTTGCAGCTTGGGACAACGTTTCCAAAGCCCCTTCTTTAAAGCCCCATTTTCTTTCAAGTTTGTTGACTGAAAGCTGTAAATTTTATTTAAATGCTTCATCAACACCAAAGCCAAAGAGCCTTCCCCTTAGTGGAGATATGGCAACAAACTCATTTAACTTTATTCCATCTGTAAAAGCAATTTGTTGGATGCTCAGCTACAAATTGGATTACCATATTCACACTTCTTCAAAATCTGAAAACCTAACTAGTTCATGTATTTTTGATGCACCTAATGATGTTAGCACTGTTGTGCCCATCATTCCTGATGTTAAATTTGATATTGAAAAAGTCAAGCAGAGCCATAGGAACCCACCCCACCAGCAAACCTGCTCTGCACTGTTTTATCTATGACTTTAGGCAAGCACTTCTACTTGACACCCAATTCAGTTTAACTGCAGGCTGCAGCCAGAAAGGGGCTACTTTCCCTCTTTCATCTTCCCAGCCACTTACTTCTACCAGCTTGCTGACCTGCCAAAACACCACCATAATTTTTAGTGGGTGCTCTGCAAGTGAGCTGAATGAGTGCACACCCTGAAGCAATACAAATGTTCAACCCAGTGCAAGAGGCAATAAGCAGGGTGACTAAATAAAGCATGGAATCATCTCAGCTTTAAAACAAACCATCAGTGTTCCTGGAAGAGGTCTAACCACAGCAACAGAAGTGACAGTGTATGGGTCAAGCCTAAGTAGACGGTGTGACCAAAGACCACTTGAACTCAGCCATTTGTCCTAGCAGATAAAGCCCAGACAAGCCAGGATGTTAAACTGCCTTCAGAGGTTACTATTTCATGTCAATAGTGTCATCTTTTTCTGCCTCTTTCTAATGCTCCTAATTTGACTTGCAGTATTTTATCTAAGCAAATTAAAAAAAAAAATTGGAAACAAAAATATTCTGGCATTTTGAAATGTTGGACTGTGTTGTGATGACAAAGTTCCCAGGCCCCAGAATTTCTCAGGGCTTGATTAAAGCAACTGATGCTGGAAACAAGATGCCCCTCATCATGCAGCTTTGTCCTTTGACCTTTCAAAAAAACAAAAACGGGAGTTAGGGGGGAAGGGATAGCACTGATAAAATATGAACTAGTGCTCTGATGTATTTATACCCAAAGAAGGGCCATGGGAAGTGATTCTCCTCAGGAGGATATGCTGTGGAGAGACGTACAGCCAAGCAGGGGCAGCTGGAGAAGCTACCACAAGCAGCAGCTTGCCTTTATCTGGGCACACAACACTGGCCCAAGCATTGACTGTCCTTTCTTATGGAAAATAAAGCAAATCAACTCCAAAGGCAGTTTTGGTTACTCTGTTTGGGTTCACCTGGTTCTGGGGGAAAACACCTTCACAAGGGGCAGCCCAGCAGGAGCTGCAGCCTTCAGCAGCTGTCCCCAGCTTCCATTCAGCACAGAGCACCCCACGCAGCTCCCACCAGTTGCTTCCACTGGAACCAGGTGAACCACTGGGAAATCCTGTGTATGTGTGGAAGATGTATCTTGAAGTTTATGAGGTAACAGACAGCTCTCTTCTGTCCCTACAGGTCTATAGATATATTCTGCACCTGGGATGGGGCAATCCTGGATATACGTACAGACAGGGGGATGAGGGGGTGTAAAGCAGCCCCACAGAAAGGGATCGGGGGTTTCGGTCGATGGCAAGTTGACTGTGAGCTAACTGTGTGCCCTGGCAGCCAAAAGGGCCAACCATGTCCTGGGGTGCATCGAGCATGGCATTGCTGGCCAGCTGAAGGGAGCGACTGTCCCCTCTGCTCTGCGCTGGTGTGGTCTCACCTTGAGGTGAGAGGTGGGCACCACAGTATAAGAAGGAAATAAAACTATTAAAGAGTGTCCAAAGAAGGACTACAAAGCTGGTGAAGTGCCTAGAGGGCAAGATGTGTGAGGAGCAGCTGAGGGCCCTGGGTTTGTTCAGCCCACACAGAGCAGGCTGAGGGGAGGCCTCATGGCGGCCTGCAGCTCCCTCACGAGGGGAGCGGAGGGGCAGGCGCTGAGCTCTGCTCTCTGGGGACAGCGACAGGACCCGAGGGAACGGCATGGAGCTGGGACAGGGGAGGGCCAGGCTGGGGGTTGAGGAAAGGTTCTGCACCCAGAGGGTGGTTGGGCACTGGGACAGGCTCCTGAGGGAAGGAGAAAGGGAGGCTTGAAGATATTCAAACCTTGTCCCTGTCAAGTAAACCTCGGCAAACAACCTGCACGTGGCAGCACCACAGTGAGTCCGAAAAGAAAGGGTAATGTATATTTTAGCAGAGCAGAGATCTGACGTGCACACACCCTGCTGCCATGGCACGAGAAGTTCCTCTTGTTGACTGCAGCGCTGGCTCCTGAGACATCCCAAAGCAGTCACTTTCCCTTATGACTCTTCAACTTCTTTTACCACCATCACTATGCAAAAGCACACAGCTTTTTCACGTAACCGGCAACAAGGGCAGAGGAAGAAGCTTTCATGCCCCTCTACAAACCCCAAGGGCACGTGCCCTGTCACTTTTCCCTGTGGGAGAGCTCCAAGCACTGTCTCACATTTCGGGCAGCCCAGGGGAATGGGAACACCTCCGGGGTGACCCCACCAGGCTGCAACCCGAGCCCCTGTGCCTGCTGCCAGCTGCCCTTTCACCACATGACTTTCAGTATCGACCCCGCCACCGTGTCTGCTAGGAGAGGGAGAAAAACCAACTAACCAAACAACAACAAACGTAACGTCAAATATTTTTCAGCAGTGCAAGCCATGGCAGCCTTCCCCCGCAATCCATGCTGGTTGCCATCTAGAGCGCGTCCCTGAGTGACTGCAGCCTGCTGCTACAGGCAGGGTGGATGCACATAGCCAATTTATATTAATGTATGGGCAAACAGCAGCCATCCACAGCTACGTCTGTAACAAGATGTGGTGCAGCCCAGTAAAAATAGATCTGTGGAGCGAAAGAGTCGTGGGTGAACAATCGCCCACGCTAGATGTGTCTGGGAGGTCTCACTTCACATCAGCTCAAGCAGAGATGTGCACGATGTCCATCAGCAGTTGGGGCACAGTAAGCGTGCTTCCACAGCCTGCTTGCCAGGTTAGCATCAGCCACAGTGAATCCAGTTCACATGTCCCAGAACTGCCCTGCATGGGTGGTAACATAGAAAATGAGGAGACACTGCAGATTTTTATAGCTGATGACTGGCTGGCAGCAATAGCCAGTGAACTATCAGAAAACTGAGCGTTTCACAGGGTGCAAAGGGCACAGATCCTTCCCCTTTCAGATACTGACACTCTTCCAACATGAGAGGCAGACTTTGTCTCTCTGTCTGAGAGCCAGAAAAGGCTTTAAAACCCTTCTTATCCTGCTCCCTTACTCTGCTCCTCTGATGCAACCTGTCACAGGCATCTCTTCTTCTGTGGGCACTCAGGATAGCAGAAAACCAATCATGTACTCTCTTCCAGAAAACAATTAAGATGTCATTAGCAAAGAAAAAAATGGAAGAGGACAAATTACCTTGCTCTCTTTGAGAAGCCCACAGAGGCATCACTAGCACGTGGTTACAGATAATACGATCAGCTACACCAAGCTTGTAAGCTAGTGCTGCTTGCTACAAGAAGTCACACCTTAGGAGCACAGCCAAAGGGGTCTGCAGCATCAACATGATCCTCCTCCACATGGTACATGGATATATATATCCATATCCTCCACTGATGCCTGCTGAGTGCAAGGCTCTACACAGAGGACCTCTACCTACCTTGTCAGACATGCCAAACACTGCATGCATTTCTGATAACAAGCCTATTGCCACTTAGGCTGATGTCCAAGCACACGGGTTCAGGGTTTGTTTGTTGACTTTAGGGCAGGGTGAGGGGGGTGAACACTGTTCTGTTTTGTTTCCAAATTCAGAGCTGCCTTCTTGAGGAACAGGATGGGAAATGAGAGAGGAAGGAAGGAAATCACTAATAAAATCATTCAAGTCAGTAGAAGAAACAAGCTATACAGAAATAAGTATTCGTGACTTTAAGGAGTAGATCTTTACATGTAGCTTGTCTCAAAAAGACTGCAGACACAGTTATGACAGCACCATTACAACAGAGGTGAAAGCACAAAAACACTACAGTATACTAAACACAGGAATAAAGAAGACTGTTTGAAAGCTCAATCTGTGCTAAGAGAAGATCACAATCGAAAAGTCAGTGTAATATACAAAATAGCTTTCAGACTGAGAAACACACCTTATCACAGTGCTTCCATTATTTTCCTACAATAATTCAGATGCTTTTCCTAGTAAAAAGTTTAACGGAACAGCAAGCAAATAAGTGAGCTGAGGTATGTGAGAGTACAGGACAGGAAAATATGATTTGAACAGAATTTATTGGAAATGGGTTAATAAATAGGAAATATTGGCATCAATGATTTCAGCAAAGCACCAAGAAATTTGAAAGATACCCAAATTCAAGGTAGGCTTGGCACCTCCCACCAGCAGCAACCACGGGCTGCTGGAGGAAAACACCTCTGTGGGTTACAACACACTTGCTGTAGGTACAAACTCCAGTTTCAACCACAAGGCTGGCACCTCTGCTGAACTCACACAGAGCTCTTCATAGCTTACACTTGTACAGTTACTCCAACAATAGACTGCTCTGGCAGGTACCCTAATGATTATATCTTCCCTAGCAGTGAGGGTACCACGTGTCAATTCCAAACATCATTATATGACCCAGTTCAGAAAATTAGCACAGGCAAAAGATTGTTTTATTTACTTTTTAAATTTATCCTCAAACAAATGAGTTCCTTTAAAGAAAAAAAAAGGCACAAGACACCCTAGAATAGACGTCTAGAACATCAAGCTGACTATTTAAGCCTAGCAAAATTGTAAGTAGAAACAAGGCCCTTTACAGTAACAAGTCAGCCAGCTTTGTAAAGGATCCATCACAGTTAGCTCTACCCAGCTTAGTACTAAATAAAAACACAGGGTGACAGAAGTGACTTGGACACTTGCCAGAAGTGGTATTTCTGAACTATCCCTGGTCATAAGTAAAGAGTTACTCGATTTCCATATACAACTGTTTCACACATGGGAGGAGGGGAGTCCATGAAAATAACAGGGTTTTCTTAATTTCCTTGAGAATTTCAAACTCTACTCAACTCCCTCCCCCCAGGCCTCACCTTGCCATGGCTTCTCTCCACCTTTCGGAAACATTTGTTCAAGGAGAGGTTGTGTCGGACAGAGTTCTTCCACCCCGTCGGTGCTGTGGCAAAGTAGGGGAAGCGCTCCAGGATCCAGCTGTAGATTTCTTTGACTGGGAGGCTCTTGTTGGGGGAGTGCTCGATGGCCATATAAATGAGGAGGCTGAAGGAGTAAGGGGGTTTGGAAGTCGATGATTTTTTCTCTGGGTTCTGGTAGCAGGACGGCGAGAAGGATGGCACGCTGTCACCCTCTATGTCATACAAAGGGCTAACAATTGGAAGACCCTCGCTTCCAAGGCTGAAATTTGTGAGAAGGTTAGTACTTTCGTGCAGCCAGTTCAAATTTGTGAGTTCGTCATCAGTTGAATCGCTGTCCACCACCGTGGCCTTGGGCCTCCCAGCATCTCCTGCTTCAGGCAAGCTTCCCATCCTGTGGACCTGCCTTAGTCCTGCAGCTTTTTCTGCTCCTGGCGTTTTAGCTTTCCTGTCCGGAGTCATTCCAGTGACTGGACCCATTTAGCTTTATTGGTCTGCAACAGAGGAGAAAGAAATCAATGCAAAACTTCAAAATCACGTTCAGTGTCAGCCCAAGCTGAAAAATTCCCAAGGAAACGTGATACCATACTGACCCATGCTGTGGTCACTGAGGAGAGACAGGGTTAAAAAGAAAAAACAAAAACCTCTTGTAAACCCTCTTATCTCGCCCGGCTTACAGCCAGAACTCACAGTAAGCCCTTGGAAACTGCTCTACTTGTCTTGAAATTTCAATTTGGACACCGAAATAACAGCTATCGGTGTCAACATCTGAAAGAGACCTCAACAGGTAGGATCTAAACCATTCTGTTCTCACATTAAGTCTTTAATTATATTCATTACATTGTAAATTAACCCTATTTAGAAGTGCTTGCTTTTGATTCCTGGAGAGGAAAAAATAAGTTGCAAAACTTAAATAGCAGGCAGTCAACTTGCGGTCCTGGTGCAAATTACGTCTGTACAACCCCCTGCAAGTCCCAGTCATTCCTAGGCACTCCCTCACACTGAAGAGCTTTAAAACAAGCCACCAAGCAAACTGCTATGCTAACAGCTGCTTTTTTTCTGCTGATGTAACCATGTCAGAACCTCGCTGCACCTAAAGCTTTGGCCAACACAGCTGTATCAGAAGCACAGATCACTTTACACACGTGGCTATACCAGCCTTCTATAAACATAAGGCTCTCCAGCTACTGATGCAGAAGTCACCTCACCAGGCAGTGCAATGCACATTAGAGATGTCTTCTTACATTTTTTTGCAGTATTTGCATGAACACATGGCTTTGTGCACTTGGATCTTCTCCTGCAGAGGACATGGAGACAAGGACCTGCTCAGCCTCGTACAAGGGCAAACTGTCAGAGCAAGTCTACTGCTGCTAAGATTTCAATGGAAATTATCGCATCAATAAGAGTGTTTAGACAATTTTTAGTTAAGTGCTCCGCTCTCAGATGGACTTATTAATACAATTTTCTTTGTTTGTTGTTCTAATTCAAGAACAAATACTCTAAGGGGAGAGATTAGTAAGTTTTCTTTATGTTGGAGGAGAGCAACAGAAGAGCAAGGTGCAATGTGGTGACACAGAATCTGCTCCTCCTCCAGAAAAGCACTGTTCCCTATAAGCAATTTCTTCTTGTCATCTGCCTGTAGTCTTTCATGCAGCTACTGCCAAGCTTTCCTTGCTTGCCCCTTTTTATCAGGGGATACCTTACCAGTCCCTTTATGTTGGGGGGCTATGTGAGCTGGAGGAATCAAAGATCCAGACCCCAAAAAGGTGATCTGCCTTGCACGCTGTGGACCAACAACTCCACCTTCTCCAGAAAACAAAATCTGTACTTACACAGTGCTAGAAACCATCCCCCAAAATTCAATTTATGTGCAGGGACAGGCATTATTAACTATTAGCTCAGTCATTAAAAATAAAACAAAGCAAACTGCTCAAATAGCTTCTCAAAAGTAACTTTGCTCTCTCTACAATTTACTTTTTCCCCTAAGTTGGTGGATGCTGGCTTTAAAACAGAGCAATTTATACACGTCTATGTTACTTTTTCAACCCTTCCTTAAATAAAAAACAAAGGAACAGTGATAAAACCCATAAAGTGAAACAAACCCAAATTCTGCCATAAAGTTTCACCATTTTCCTTACACAGGACAACATTACTCCCTTGTCCTGTGTCCTTTTACCTATCTATGTACTAGCTGCCACTGCTCACTGTGTACTGATTTCAGTACTTGGTGCAGAACACATGAAATTTCCCTTTGCGAGTCTCTGATCAGCACAGGAGATCAGAACCATGTACACACAAACAAACTTAGGTCACTGTATTTATTCCTTTCCTGAACATGAGGCAACAGAGTCTGTTTTAAAACGCAAACATGGCCCAGACACCCCAAAGTGTAGAGAAAAGGGAAACATTAACTTAACCTGGCCCTTCAAATTAGGTCAGCATTGTGGCACCCACATGCTTTTTGTTTGTGTGCTGTTATGTGCTAGCAGAGGACCATTAGAATAATTAATATTCTACTTTAAATTCTTTACAGCAATGTATTTATAGTAAATAATATACAATGTTTCCCTCAATAGATGCACTACGAAAAGGCACGTTTTAGAACATCTTTGCTGCCCGTCTCTGCTATGAACAACCAAGGGTTTGTGGACACAGACGCTCCAGTGGGAACAGCACAGTAAGAGCAAGGCGGGCAGTTCACAAGAAGAAAAGAGCTTGTAAGAAGCCCTCTGGTGCAGACATCATGGTAGATTGTGTACAACTGCACCCTCGAAATATTTCCCAATGTTTCTCTCCGTTATCAGCTAGGAAGGTTGATGCAAGCAGGGTTAGAGGTAAGCTTGCTCTCCAGTGCTCCCACCCCAGCTGAATTAGCAGCACCAATACAAACCATGAGAGAAACCCAGCAGAAAAGCAAGGGTAAGGGTGCGCAAGGCCACCTCGTGAAATTTACCTTCCATTCCTTTTTCCTCTTACTGACACCTTCCCTGCCTCTTCAACCGCTCCTGTGGCAGAAAAAGCCAGGCAGGACAATCCCCTCTGTGCGCCTGCTCTGCCGATGAGATGAGATGAGCTCTGTTCCCCTCTCCTCCTGCTGTCCCCCAGCCTCTCCTTGCCGAAGGATGGCAGGTGGCAGCCCCTCACCAGCCTCTCCAGCTGGCACCCCCAGCACCCAGAAGCTCACTGCTATTGCCATGGGGACAGCCCCAGCCCTGCAAGCGGAGCCAGGACTCAGCCCCCAGCCTTCCAAAGGCAGAAGCCTGAAACACACCTCTACAAACACCAGCTCGGTGCTTCGCCCTGCCAGTGCGTGCACAGGAGTACAGCGCAGTGCCATTACCATTAACACCCACAATGAAAAGCAGGAGTATTCAAAGCCTAAGGGCATCACGTACCCAAATGCCAACCCATTCAAGCACCCGTTCTGGTGAGCACCTTCAGAACAAAGCCTGCCAAAACATCTCCTCAAAAACAAAGCACTGCAATGGACGTACGCATCATTTTGCAACGTAATTATATACAGAGGACTAGGATTCTGGGATAAGATGATTAAAAGGCTGCAAAGCCAACTGAGGGTGCTCGACTAAAAGCTTGGAAGCACCAGAAAGAAGATGAAAGATGCAGCCTCCTTTCCAGCACTGGTGATTTTGGTATCACTTGAGAGTGCACGGGAAAGCCAGGCACAGAGCTCCCTTCTAACAGTGCCAAGTCCCGGTAAGTCCTGCTCCACACACCACCCACGGAGCAGGGCAGACTCAGGCTGTAGGTGTACTGAGGTAGCAATCAGGTTTAGAGAAACCCCAACATACCTGAGGGGGATATTCAGTGTCACGAGACACTGTGCACGGTGCTGTTGCTGAAGAAACCAACCCACACTGCCCGGTAATTAGTTACCAGTGCATCAGAAACGGACTACTGGGTCGCAGCAGCTTTTAGCAAGCAGCGGGGGAGATGCCTGCTTCTTTTCTGAGCAATGAGTTCCGAGTTGGAAAATCCGCAGAGTTCAAGAAAAATCTGTCTGCTCCGAACACGGAGAATATCTCTGCACATCCCTGAAGTGCCTGTGGGAAGCGTGTCCTCTGTGTTCTCTGGACACTGACTCCACTTCCATTGCGGCTATTCTGAACAGACAGGACATGGATCTCCTTATTTACAATAGGAAGGGGAGAGGAAAAAAAAATCAATACAAAAAACATCAATACAAAAAAGCACTTACAGAACAAAATGGTTTTTACAATCTTCTTTCAAAGTCAAGAGCTCACTTTGAGAGAGGTGTCAGGGGCTGAAAGGCACTCGGTATAGCGGGCGAGGGCTCAAAAGCCAGAGTAAGCACAACACAAGGCACAGCTTTGTCAACAGGTGCCTTGCTGAGGAAGTCTCTGCTCCAGAAGAGCCCAGTGAGGAAGCAGTAGCAGAGACCTCGGTCCCACCAAAGGTGCCATGGTGACCCTTCCCCAAAGCAGCAGTACTGGAGGTAACTACATGCAGCCACTGCTTTATCACCGCAGCTGCCACAGGCAACACACAAACTGAGCTCTTTCTGCCTAGACTCAACCACCCAGAGAAAAAGCATTCGACCTCTTGTTAAAAAGAAGAAAAAAAGCAAAATACTACTTTTTTTGTGTTGTGTTATCGTGTGAGCAGAGCTGCTGCTTGACCCAACTTCACTTCCCATCTGACACCACCCTGCACTGCGACGAAAGGTGCCACAGAGCATCTGTGAGCACACCGAGGCCCCAGGGCAGGGAGATCCCCTCCAGAATTAGCCTTGCCCCTTTGTTTCTGTAGGGCCAGCCAAGCAACCAGGTCCCATCAGCTAGCAGTGCCTTTGGGAAGGCCTGCAAACTGCTCGCAGTGCAGTCATTTCCCTCTAGAGTTAGAAAAAGACCATGCACTGAGTAACAGAGCATGATTTTAAGCTAGGGGAAGAGACTTCTAAAGGTGTCAAATAAGAGCAGCACTGGAACCAAGCTCAGTGCAACAAGCTCAGGGCACGCAGCCTGAGTTACAGGCGTATTTGTACAGTCCCTACATAGGTTTGTGCAAACATATACGGGCTCTGTGAGAGTGTTTAAGAATACCAGCAGATGCTTTTGCTTGCAAGCAACTACACCAGCATTAAAAGTCTTCTATTGATTTTTCGTATTCCCTTGCATTCGTAGGAAATGCAGCTACACCAGGGGTTGTCCCGACTTAAACACATCAGTGTGTGCATTGTGTTGTTACATGGCACAAGCACACGTATAAATGACTGTCACCACTCACACAAAGTTTGCAATACACTTTCCAGCCAGCACGCTCACAGCAAAGGACCAACCAGAGGCTTTTTTTTTGTGTTAAGGGGAAAAGTAACACAGCTCCCTGCCCGGCTAGTGAAAACCCATTGATAAAAAGCTGGAAACGTTAAAAGCACCACATTCACATGGCTGCGAGCATTCAGAGCATGGCACCAGCCCATTTTTCCATCGATTTAACCTTCTCCCCTCCCTCCTCC